CCCATGGGACCACCACAGAGCAGGTATTATTTGGGTGGTGGATCATTCTCAGCACTGCAGTGATACTGACGTGGTGGTGGCAAGCACAGAGGAGAAAACGTCAACATTTGGAGCTATTTTAGATGTAAACCTGCAGAAGACTGCAAAGATACTGCTAAAACGATAACAATCTCAAACACTTCAGCTGCTGGGGCTGGGCAATATGAGGCAAAATAGCATTATTGTGATAAATTATGTAAATACAGTACAATATGCTTTTCTGAACATATCATGCATATCATCAGTACTTGTAGAACACTGACCGACTGTCTGTTTTATTATAAAGAGAGCAAAATTAGTTCTGTTTAACTGGATTTAGTGCAACACAATATGTCAAATAGTGAAAAAATATCATTGTATTTTTTTCCGTTCCAACAGGTCAGATATATAAATATTGTGACATATTGTGTGTCATGAAAATTTCTTGAAGTATTGCAATATTACATTTTTGCAATTTTGCCCACTTCCACCAGCCACCATTTGAAAGAATATTTTACAAAAGGAAAATGATGGTCTCAAAATAGTCTGTTTAAAATACATGCCACTTGGTTTGACATTTTGTTTCCTAATGCAATGAAGTACAGTGTTAGAATTAAAGGTTCTGTGCAGGTATATTTGTCATTCATCAAGGTACAAACAATGTAAATGTACCCTCAAAGGTACAACAGTGGTTTTAAGGTTCAGCTGTGTACCCTAAATAAGTTTTTCCAAGGTGAAAAGTACACATTTGTACCTTTTCATAACTTAACGTTTTAAAACAGAGCAATAAAGTAAAAAGTCTGGAGACGAGACGGGCTGTGTGGAACTTAGAAAATATAATTTCAGTGGATTATTCAGTTATGTTCCCTGACTAAAGGTACTGAGATGTACCCTTTAGGGTACCACCTCAGGTACAAGAGGGGCACTGCCTCAGTGACAGTTTCGTGTCTTCTTTGCTGAGAGTGAACTGTCTTTCCATAATTGTTAAGATGAGAGATAGAGAGAACTGTTTTGTTAAAAAAAAAAGTTTCCTTTTCTGTTTTGTTTGGTGGGAAAACAGAGTACATGTTTGTGCCTCACCAGCCAAAAGAAATGTTATAGTTGTCTGAATGAAATACTGTAGTTGCAGTAATGCAGGAAATACAGTGAGTCAGGACAAAGACAAAAGGGTTTGAAGGGTTCTGATGACGGTGTGTGCTGACGTTTGGCCAAAACATCCTTTTCGTAGAACAAATTGATTCTTCAAATGGCAGAAAGGAAAGGAACCGTACAATTTACTTTAACTGAGTGGGCGGAAGGGTCTGTGTATCGAAATGATGAGACTAGAATCAACCGTCTCTAAAAACATCCTCGTCTCAGAGCCCTAACAGGCCTCAGTCATGCAGAGCACAGTATCTGTACCATAAGAAAATTCAATAATATGCCATTGTCACTATTTCATGTCTTTTGCAAATCTTTGTAGCCTCCTACGTACACTCCGTCCTGTATATAGCAGAAGTGGAACCAGTTGGAGAAAAAGAAACAGTGGTTATATTTTTCACGGCGGTGTACCTTTCTCATCAACAGGTCAGTTACGTTACAGACTCTCCTTTGTCCTGACTCATCCAGAGGTTTCACTTCAGCAGACCGCAGTCACAGTACCTGATTCTGCACCACTGCGTGCTTCCCATTGGTCTTGGGATTGAAACACTGAGGTGAAGAGAAGAGAGGATGAGGATATGAGAACTTCCTCTTCGCATTCATAGTTTCATCAGGACCAACGCCCAGAGAGGTGCACGGATTGAAACTCAGACAAACACAAAAAGTACACTTTAGTCTGAAAAACTGTTTGGCCTGATTTGGGAGGCTTAAGATGTCACTAAACAAAGCTTGTGAGAAAATCTCTTGAAAAAGTGGCAAGGCTCTGTGGAAATAGGCCTGAAATTACACCATAAACTCTAGTGGTCGATTTCATTAAGCCTAAGTGCTGGACAACTTTTGATAGAGAATCTCTATTCACAATGCTGTATTAGTCCTGGACTAGGCTTAAAGAAGATTGTCTGATTAAATGTTTAGATGTAAATCTGAAATTGGATGTGAAATACGATTCTAGAGAAGCCTTGAGTCAGAAATGTTCACAGCAGTGGTGATAGGAACCGGACATCCACATTGTTTAATCCATCTGAAAGCTACCCCTCATAAGATGGTTATGATTACACTGCCTGATGCCTCAGAGATTTTACAATAGTTTTGAGATAAGCTTTTGGTCTAAAACATATTTTTCAATAAATAAATATTAAGGAAAAACACCCTAAAGAAAACTACAGTGGTTTGTATAGTAAATAAAACAGTTACTAGTTACTACAACTAGTAATCCTAAAGGAATACTCCAGAATTTTTAACCTGATCTCTTTCTGTCATATCTCTAGTATACAGTCGATTATACAGACAATCATTTTAATGTATTTCTTTGTATTTAGTAGAAGAGCAGAAAACCTGCTGAAGCATCTGCCCGTTGACTTCTGTTGTATAGTAATTATATAGTGGGTTTTGCTAACAGGTGTATAAAAGTATGCATATAGCCATAAACTCTCCATAGACAAACACTGGCAGTAGAATTGGTCGTACTGAAGAGCTTTGTGACTTTAAACATGGCACTGTCATAGGATACTGCCTTTGCCACGAGTCAGTTCATTAAATTCCTGCCCTGCTAGATCTGCCCCGGTCAACTGTAAGTGCTATTGTGAAATGAAAGCTTCTAGGATCAACAACAGCTCAGCAACAAAGAGGTAGACAATGCAAACTCACAGAGCAGGCATGGCAAGTGCTGAAGTAAACAACGCATAAAAAATCACCTATCCTCTGTCGCATTGCTTACTACCAAATTGAGTTCCAAACTGCCCCTGGAAGCAACATCAGCACAAGAGCTGGGCTTCGGGAGCTTCATGAAATGGGTTTCTATGGGTAAGCAGCTGTACACAATGCCAGGCATAGGCTGCAGGGGTGTAAAGCACTCTGCCACTAGCCTCTGGAGCAGTGAAAACATTCTCTGGAGTGATGAATCATGCTTCACTATCTGGCAGTGTGATGGACGAATCTGGGTTTTGTGAATGCTAGGAGAACGCTACCTATTTTAATGCATAGTGTCAACAGTAAAGTTTGGTAGAAGAGGGATAATGGTCTGGGGCTATTTTTCAGGGTTTGGGCCTTCAAGGGAAGGCTTACGCTAATGCTACAGCGTACAAAGACATTTCAGACAATTATATGTCTAACTTTGTGGTGACCGTTTGGAGTAGGCCCTTTCCTGTTCCAGCATAACTGTATCCCTGTATGCAAAGCAAAGTCCATAAAGACATGGTTTGATGAGTTTGGTGTTATGGAACTCTAGTGGCCTGACTTCTACCCTACTGAATACTTTTAGGATGAAATGGAATGTCTACTGCAAGCCAAGCCGTCTTGTTCACACTTAAGTCGCTGAACTCTCAAATTTTTGGCTGAATGGGCACAAATTCCCACAGACACACTGCAACATCTTGTGAAAAGCCTTACCTGAAAAGTGGAGGCTGGTAAAACTGCAACAAGGGGGGCCAACTACATAATAATGCACATGGTTTTGGAATGGGATGTCCAACAAACTCTTATAGGTGCAAAAGCCATGTGTCCACATACAGATTAGATTGAAATACTCTGAAATATACCTTTAAGATGTATTAATCAGTAACTACTGTGAAAGTAATTAGTAATAGTTAAAGTAATGTAGTTATAAAAGTGACTGCTAAGGGGTCATGGAATTTAACAAGTTAAAGTGAATGTGGAGACAATAAATGAGATCAAATATGGTAGCTTTGACAACACCATGTAATGACAAATTCTCTTTTTCATTAATATAAAAAAGTGAGATTTTTAAAAATAATAAATCATTTCATGTTAAATCATTGGGGATTTTTATTTAGCCCAATGAAATCACTGGTGACTTAAGCTGTGATTGCTAGTGTATATTGTCAAGAAACACTGAGTTTTGTTTTTTTTTTGCCAAAAAAAGCATCAGTAGTCATAAACAATGACAAATACATCATAGTATAAAAATGAAGGTGGAGGCATTGGCCTGGAACCCCCACAGAGTCGAGACAAGGCTCGTTTGATCAGGTTGTATGCAGTATTCTCCTCTACTTCCTTTCCTTTGCCGGGAAATTCAGTCCTTTTCAAAGAGTACTAGCCGGATGCATAAAGATTCAGACTGAGAAAGACTCCTTTCATCTTTTTTTAATATTCTAGATGAATGTTCTCAAAATAGCCCAAATCAGTTTCAACTTGTAAAACATATATTTGTCACTTTTATTGAGGCTAACTGAATTGTGCACCGGCACTCTTAAAGAAGAAGGTTCTTCAAGGGTTCTTTATTAAAGACAATGGTTATGTATAAAACCATGAACACTCAGATAACCATTTGCATGCTTAAAGTGTTCTTCTATTGTTACAAACTAGACATTTGTGACAATAGAACATCCCTTTTTGGTGCCATATAAAACTCTTTTCAAAAAGGTTCTATACAGAACCATATACATCCATCAATATATATCAGTCTGAAGAACCATTTCATGATGCAAATAGCCCTTTAAGCATGCAAGTGGTTCTCCGAGTGTTCATGGTTCTATATAGAATAATTGTCTTTACTAAGAACCCTTAAAGAACCATCTTTGTTCAGAGTGTACTCTTATTTTCAGACATGACTTAAACTGAATGTGTTCAGCTTCATTCTGAAACAGAAGCTGTGTCACCGTTCTGTTTCCTGCATGAAAAATTCACAAAAACATTCATTCAAAGTAAAACTGTCCTTCTTAAGGACTCGTACATTAGCAGTTTCATACGTTGATGGTTTATAGGGCAGGCAGGAAGGCCTTTATGTTGTATAATGTATATGCACAAATATGATAGTAAAAGTGAACAAAATAGCCACACAAATGTTCGTAATGTATTAAAAGCACATTTATTTATAAATACAGATCAGGATTTCACAGAAAAAATAAAATCACAAGACAATTTGTTATGGCATTTATTTACATGTTATTTCTCAAGCATTGAAAAAAATCAAGAAAAAGACAAATATTAAACTGTTATCACACTGTCAGTACAAGAAATAAAAACATTGATCTGTGAGTCATTTCAGCAATCACGTTCTCTATCAAAACTAAATCACCTCCTCTCAAAATGTCATGCATGCACATTGTTAGAGATAATGTATTGAGTAAACAATTGAAGAAATTTATATTAATTTCTTTAAAAAATATACAGTTTTATTAGCACATTTGTTTATGCTACAATACCGCTGAAAACCAAAACCTATTTCACAGAATTTTTGCAGTTTATTTATATATTTATATTTTTTCCCATGAGACAGTTTACAAGAAGTTAAGCAGAATCATTCACAGCTTAATTCTCTGTGCCGGTACGATCTGGCAGTGTAAATCTCTCCATCTGAAAGTGAGCCTTGCTGACTCTCGCTGTAACGTATGCACTGGAACTCCTCCTTGCTCACGTAGAACTGCTTCTCGCTACTGTTATCCTCTTCATCGACATGGACTGTGACGTCCTCTTCCTCCTCATCTTCGTCGTCCGCCTCTCTGGCCTCCAGGGCTCCCCCCAGTTCAGGCTGGTAACGGTCAGGGCTGTACTGGCTCATCCTGTACAGACTGTCCTCGTCCTCCTCCCGGCTGGAACTGCCCCCCCTCACGCTCTCGCCGTCTGACTGAGAGAGGCGCGGCTGAGGCCGGGTCTTCTGGGACAGGTCGAAGGGCTCGTCCTGGCTGAAGCGGGACAGGAGTCGCAAGGGTGCTGACAGGCACAAGCGCCCCCGCCGCCTGAATACTTTAGCCATAAGAGAACAGAGGAAACACATCAGCAATGGCTTCATCTGATTATTCTTGAAGGTTTTAAGAAGGTTGTTCAGCTAAAAATCAAATTTATGCAATTTTCCCCTTTAAGTTTGGCATCTGAACATTATGAGAGGCAGATACTCATCATTGTGTGCATTATGCTGGTTGGACGGCCCTCTTCATCTATGTGGTGTGATAGACATTGGATTTTGTTTATTTGTATGGTCTTCACTGGATGCTTGCCACCATTTATTACTTACATGCTAACTTTTAATAGTGGTGCTTAGCAAAAAGGTCCTAGTTATTTTTAATAAGCTTGACAAATCCAGTTTTATTCACTATGCACTTGCAACTTGGAATACCTTGCAAACATAATATAAAGCTGATCCTACTTCTCTGTTTTATTGTTCTTTATTTATTGTTTTATTTACTTTTAAAGTTTTTTTTTTATTTATTAGTGAAGTAATGGTACCTTATAGCTATCAATTTAGCATCATACAAACTGCATGTTTACATCAACAAACACTTGTCTCAAACCACATAAGCAAGCCTTTGTGAGATTAACATGAACCTGAACAACTCAATGTGGTTTGAGACAAGTATTTGATGATTTAAGCATGCAGTTTGTACTATGCTAAATTGATTGCTAGCTTCCATTACTTGCTAGCTACATTAGCCCCCAGACATACTGATATTTATAAAAATGGACAAGATACTGTTCTGAGCTATGCAACATACATTAGCCCTTTTTATAGATAACAGCATGGTGACAGTATAATACAGTGTCAGAGACCATATAAGCTAATGCATATAATTTGATTGTTCATCAAACTATCACTTTAAACTCAATGTTGGCTGGTGATGCTTCATACCTCGGGCGTCTAGGCCTCGGTCCATGATGCCGTGTTTGACCTTCATGTGTCGAGTCAGATTCCCTTTCAGAGTGAACTTGCTCGGGCAGTACAGGCACTTGAATGGCTTGCTGTCAGAGTGCAAGTGCATGTGGCCCATCAGATTATGCATTCTGTTGAACTCCTTCCCACACAGCTGAAAAGAGAACAGAATAATTCAGGCTACAGCAAATCAACACTTATAGACAACTGTGAGATGTACACTACATAAGGCATAATAGCAAAAACATTCAATTCTGCCTCTTCATTGTATGTTTGTAGGTTTAAGGCTATATAGGTTTCTTAGGCGAGACCTATGAAGGAACCTCAAAATTAGCACTGCTGTCCCCTTTGCTCGCATTCTAAACTTAAATGACTTTCAAGGAAATGCAGAGAAAACACTGCCATAAATTTAGCTGTTACTGAACGCGCTCAGAGGTGAGAGTAATCATGAATGAGTGAGCCGAGAAACAAGAGGAAAAGGCCAGCAGACAGAGCCAGAGGCTGGCTGGGAAGGGCACTCCTGCGCTGTCCTTCCTCTGCATTCTTTTTTTTTATTAGGGTGGGCCTTTCCTTCAGGAGGAGAGAGGGACTGTAAACTGTCCAAAAGGACCGTGAGAAAACAGGAAGTGCTCCCAAGCACAAGAGAAAGCGAGATGAAATCTATTTGCGGGGCCTTTTCTCGGGGGACGAGAGAGCCATTGTTACAGGGGCAGTTTGCGCGGCGATATCCTTCCTATGGACGAAGAGACGCGCGGCTGCCAAAAACGCAGCTATCTGGTCATCGCTTCAAGCCGCCCATCTCAGCCCAAGGTCACAAGCATTTCAAAACAACAGGGACCCCAAAAAACGTCTTTGTGTGTTTTAGGACGTATCTGTCCAGAAACTTGCATCTCTGTAAATACAGTACGCTTAAAGATGCATGTCCATTTTTCTTTCAAATGATTGAAATAAGACTTGCACTGATAAGAATCAGAACAAACTGAAATTGATCCGATTCCTAACACTGTTACATGGTGGTATTAAATTACACTGTTCATAGTGCTGACTACTCTGAAACCTGACCTGATACAGCCTGGTTTGGAAAGAGCATTTTATCTGACCTCGGCCTTTTCTAATTCTCCTCATTCCCCAAGTAACAAGAATCAGCTTTGCATAATAATTCCCCGCTTAGATTTAGGCTGGGTTATTGTAATGTAAGTCACGTCGGCAGTGCACCTTGCATTTGTATGGCTTGATGTCAGAGTGGACGATCATGTGAGCCTTGAGCGTCTGCTTCTGGACAAAGCTCTTGTAGCACAGGTGGCACTGGTAGGCTCGGATGTTGGTGTGGATCAGAACATGGCGTTTCATGTTGGCCAGAAGGGTGAACTCGCGTCCACAGATGCGACACTTGTGCTCCTTTACTCCCTGAAAGGCATGAAGATGTCTAGTCAGTACACGGCTTAATACAGTTGTTCTGAACCCTGGTCCAGAGGCATTCCTGCTCAATTTAGTGTCTTCCCCATGGTATGACTTTCAGTTGATTTGTTGCATCAGGTGCTAAAGCTAGGAACCCGTTAACAAGTGCAAGCTGGGGATATTCCGGGACCAATGGTATCACATTTGTTTGGCGTACTCTGCAACTACCACTAAATGAAAATTGGGCTCGGTCTTATCTTCCACCTTACCTTGTGGGTCAGCGTGTGCTGCTTGAGATGGTGCGACTGGACAAACTCCATGCCACACTCACTGCAGATGTAGGGCCGGATGTCCTTGTGCTTCATCATGTGGTTCTGCAGCTGGCTGGGGTACTGGAAGGTCTTCCCACACTCACTACAGTCATACTGGACCGGGCCCCGGTGTGCTGTCAGGTGCCGTTTCAGCTGGGCCAGCGTAGGGAAGTCCAGACCGCACTCCACACAGACGTTCTCCTGGCCCCTCTCGTGCTTGAGCTCATGGGCCCGCAGCTCGCTGGGGTAGGCAAAGCCCCGGCCACAGACTCCACAGCTGTAGGGCTTGACGTCACTGTGCTGCATCATGTGCCTCTTTAGATGGCTAGTCTGGGTGAAGGCCTTGTGGCATACCTGGCATTTGTGGGGCCGGGCGCCCTGGTGGGTCAGCATGTGTGTGTGCAGGTGGCTCAGCTGCTTGAAGAGCTTGCCACAGAGGCCACAGCCATGCGGCTTGATGCCACTGTGGCCCAGGATGTGTGTCACCAGGTTGTACTTTGAGGTATAGGACTTCTCACACATCCGGCACTTCCAGCGCTTCTGGTCACCCCCCACGTCCACATAGTAGCTGTCGTCCACGTGGACGTTCAGGCCCAACTTCTCAGCAGAAGAAGCTTTGGAGCCCTCTTGGCTCCTTCGGCGGTATCTCAGTGCCTCGCTCTGGAAGAAGTGATTGGGAGAAAGATGCATGACTGGGCCGGGCATGGCGAAAGGGAAAGGTACCAAGCTTGGATGGAGAGGTGGGAAGTATGGAGGGGGAGGAGGAGGAGGGTGCAGTAAAAGTGGGGAGGGTGGCCATACTGGCATGGGCTTGATCGTCTCCTGCTTGACATGCACAGTATCATATCTGCCCAGGACTCGATGGAACTGAAGCCTGTTTAGATCGATCATCTCTGGGATGTACTTGTGCGGGTGAGGGCGGGATGGGATGGGTTGGACAATTGGGTAGGGAAGATGGGAGAGGTCAACAGTTCTGGAATCATCTGTCCTCTTGGGTTTGTAGTCGTTGGGGTCCATTTTGAAAGCGTGCTTGGGATTGCTGATTTAAGAACCTCTCAGGGAGGAAAGGTTGTGGTTATGGGTCAGAACAAGTCCTCAAATTTTTGTCTTGTGGGTTCTTTCTTTCAGCATTTGTGGATTTGTCCATCACTTGCCTGGGGATACAAACAACATCAGAGTCATTGACTTAATATCAGGCAGCTACAGACCTTTCCTGCTAATGTGCCTAGAGTTCAGTCTATGACAATGCAGCAGAATACCACATTACTTTCTCAAGTTCTCCAGACAGAAGAAAGAAAGGATCATCATCCATGCTTAAACGGGAAGTGCACTCACATAGACAAACCTCTCTCCCTCTCATTTTTCGCTTCTCCATGTCGCTTTACCGGACTTGTCTTTCACTTCGGTCCTGCAAGCACTTCTCTTTTCTCTCTCGTCCTACATGACAATGCTTTTAACATCTGTTTGATTTTTTTCAGGTGAAACGCGAAACAGTTTGATAGGTGCCAGTGACCAGCAGTATGTCATTGTTTGCCTGCAGCTGACCTTGCTAAACAGCGGGAAAGTGAATGGGGAAGACCGAACAAAAAAAGAAACACAGGAACTTAAGCAGTTCTTCTTTGACCACATGTTAATTGTTTGGGTTTTTCATGTTTCTGTCACTATCGCTGCTATTAAGGTGAGAATTTCCCCAAAACCTCATCAGATAATAAAGGAAGTATCACCTTAAACTGCTCTTTTCTAATTGTTTAGATGATATTAACACTAAAGATAGTTTTGAAAAAAGATGGGCTCAATTTGAAGCATACAAAGAACATTCCAGCCCCACGTTCCATTCGTTGCATAAGTTTGTGCTTATTATGAAAATTATAACAGAAATCTTTAGAGTGGTAATGGAGCACTAATTTTTTTATGACATTGTGAAAATGCAAAATATATTTGTTGTTTTAAAGTCAAATGAAATGCACCCCATTTTTTTGCTTAACATCAAGTGCATGACAAAAAGAGCACAAACTATTAGATATTTTACTAAAATCACAGTACAAAGACAAACTTTGTCAAATTTAGTAAATCATAAAAAATATAGGTACTGTGCAAAAGTCTTAAGTAGGCAAGAAGACGATTTAAATCTGTTTGTGTGGGCAGTAAATGTTTATGCCAGTAAAAATATAACAAACACCATATAACATTAGAAAACATACAAATAAATGTAAATACAGTAAGACATTGATATTCTAATCAGAACAATGCAAGTTTGATTCCTGACTTCTCACTGCTCTCTAACTATTTCATCGATTTGTAAAATTCCATCAGCAGCACCTGATTTCATTTCAAGGATTGATAATCTGAAGCTGGTGTTGGATGGTAACTGTAAATGCTAGACTTCCAAGAGAAGCTTTATTCCAAAGTTAGTGTTTGTTGAACAAAAATATACTTACTGCCCAGATAAATGGCTACATTGGCACCTGTAAAACGTTTGCGCATGTTCCATGAAAGCATAAATTCTTAGCATGCGTACATATTGCATAACCAACAAACATGGTCAAACTTAGCAATGAGAGTTCTAAACCTTACAGAACTACTCGCGCTACAACATCTTAGCAAGACATAGTGTACAGAATCACTGTGTGAGATAAGACTGTTGCAAGACAGTAATTGTTGAAGACGCAACCACCTCAGCCGGCACCTGTAAAAACACTCTACTCACTTCAGTGGCCACAGTCTGCCCGGCTCCCTGTCCCTGATGTATTCAGATAGTAAAGAGAGGCTCCTCCTCACTCAGTGCCCTTGATTAGAGACTACCCTGCCCCTGCCCAGAATGTGAGTGCGTGTTAGCATGGAGCCAGCGGCCCCCGGGCACTTACCTGACGCTTGCCCTGCGCTCTGGACAATGAGCCTCCAGGCCAGCAGACAGCATTTGAAGTGACTTAAGAAAGAGAACAGGAACAATCACTTTGTTCCCATTTTTCAGATGAGTACCTTCGGAGAGAAGGAAGGAAGGGAGGGGAGAGGAAGTCAACAAGCCTGTGCCTTCCTGCCGAAAAATAAGGAAACACTAGATAGACATCTCCATTTCTCTTCAAACTTGTGCAGTTGTGTGGATAAGAAAAAAATACTAAATGTATTCATTGAGAAAGGCTGAATGTAAAGATGTATAGATTTAGTGGTGGAGTTTCATGGAGACATGCTTTAGAGCAGGCATTGACCTCTAAAAGGAAGAACCTCTCGTAGACAGTGTGTTTGTGTCCAATTCCTCTTTCAGCTCTGCCTGTTTGGATGGAAGTGGGGAAACTTTCAGAGTTTCACCAAATATACCTTGGTGAAAATTTCTCCCTATCTTTAGTGCAATATTAGCATGTAGTATGTGACTTTTTGCTGTACGCTGCAAAAAAATAGATCTTTGGAAGTGACAACATCTTAAATCTATAGTCAATATTTTAAATTTCAATAAGACATTTTTTAAATGTTGTGAGAATATTATAAGACATTTTTACTTGTTTTAAGTTGCTTTATCTAGTAAAATTGTCTTACTCTATTGGCTGACACTTTTGCTAGTTTAAAGACTTAAAGCTTAATACACGCAAAAGTATCTGCCAATAGAATAAAATAGAATTTTACTAGATAAAATGACTTAAAGTGAGTGAACAATGTCTAGAAATATATTAAATAATCTCACAATGTTCATACAACAATCTCAAAAAGAGAAATGCACTTTTTACACCTCTGCACATTTTAATGCACAACCACTGTTTGTTTGCTGAATTTAACATATTGAGGAAAAAAAACATAAAATGTTTTTTATATTGTACATTTTATATTGTATTTTTTTTCTAGATATATTAAACTCTGCAAAAAAATAGAAGTTGTGCATTAAAATGTGCAGAAAATGTCATATATGAATATATTCTCTGTAGAAGATGTTTTAATATATTTTCATTCAGAAAATCAACAAAACGTCATTTGACTGGGTGTATTCAAACTTTTTCATATGACTGTATATTGACTACATTTAAGGTGAGTTCACTTGCTAAGATATCTTTTTTTTCAATGTAACATGAATATATGATTAATAGATCAGTACATTCAGCACATGGCAGGGTAAGCAAAACCTGACACTGGAGGCCATGTGAAAGAAACAAAATACTGAAGGTAAGCTACAAACTTCTATTCTGTAATACAGTGTTGGCACACAGCAATTTCCATCTATACATTTGAGCTTATATCTGAGAATATGTGATCTTAAGTCAGCCTATTATTATTATTTATTAAGCCGGAAGACATTAATTGAGCAAATCTCATGGCTGGCTGAAGAGCAATTACTAAGATGATCATCACTTCATGTTATGAGTCTTATTACAACAGTTAACCTGCTGACCCACCTGAGGGAGAGTCATTTCAATTAGACGCTGGAGAAATGGAAAAAGCATGTACACGTGTGTTTGTGTTGCTTGTGACGGGGTTTAATAAGTAAAAATATCCATGTTTTGAGTTAGTTCATGTGCATATATAACACATCAACTTAATAGGTTAAAAAGTCAAAAATAAGAAAAAGTTAATAACAATTTGCAAGTGCTCCCACAATTCAACTGCAAACAGGGCTGTTTCTTGCCATGAGCAGTTGCTTTGGGCCCTGAGCTTCAAGAGGCGCCGAAATATTCAGTTATTTATTTGTATTTAATATTGTTTGCGTCATTCGTTGTTTTTCTTATTGTGAAATGTTTTATAAGGCCATCATGACTTTGTTTCCAAAAGATCAAGAACACTAAAATTTGAAAGAGAATAATACATGTACCACTTAATTTTACTTTGTAATGTTGTTGTATTTGTATTTATGTCATTTTCACATTTCAGTGTAGTTGTTTAAAGATTCTATTTCCCCTAAACATTGTTTTATTGTATTTACAAGAGTATGTATTACATTTTTCCTGGGCAATATGGAATTCATTCTTTTTCATTCTTGCATGCCAAATGTGATTAAATTCAGGTAAGTGGGTGCCCCCAAAGTATGATCTCATATGATATATGATGTATGATGTTTTGGACAGCCAAATATTTATTAAAACAGCCCTGAATGTAAATGAAAATGATGATCACAGTGTTTGTGTTGATCTTTGATCACCATCTGCCTCCTCAAACCTGATGCACAGAGAAGAAAATAGCCAATTTGGTACACAACGGAAAGAGCAAAGGAAGTGTGCAAATGCACGAAAGCTTTCATTTGACTAACTGTTCTTCTCTCATCTTCTCTCTGTTCCGCTCTGGTGGCAGATGCACGATCACGCACGCAGGTTTGTAGTGACCCTTTGCAAGACCTTAGGCCAAGTGGCTACAGAATCATTGACCTAATCAGATGTTATTATTAACTGGACTGATTAAGGTTGAGTCATTAGACTTAAGCAGTAGGGGTGAAGCCGTGGCACTCGCTTCGCTCATCAGGTGAGTATAAAAAGGCCATCTGTGGCTCTCAACTCCTAAAACATCTTCGCCTTTTCTCACTTGCTCAACTGCCAGCATCAGAACCTCATCAAGCAGTAAGTAACTCAGTCTGTCTGGAGGTGTCATCAAATTAGATGCATTATCTGTTTTCATTCTTCAGTTTAAGTGTAGGATGATAACATATTGTTGCCATTTGTCATAACCTCTTTCCTCTCATTCCTGCAGCTATGTCTGGGAACACACTGTACGTCTCTTTGCTGTGCCTTCTTTCTCTCGCCTCGGCCTGCTATATCTCCAACTGCCCAATAGGTGGCAAGAGATCGCTGATAGACACACCATCCCGCAAGGTACGATAACATGTCTCACCTTATACGTGTAAGTGTGGTATCATCAGAACAACATATGAAGATCTGAAGATGTTGCAGTCTTAAAATACAGGTTCCTAAATGGTTCTTGGTTGGGATGTACAGTTACCTGAAAAAAAAACCTGATATTTAACTGGTAGTGAACCTTTACCTGAAGAAGAACCTGAAGGTTCTTTTTTTTAATTTTGCCTAATTTAGTCACTGAGATCAGATTGTTCCGAGTGGTTTGGTGTGAAATAGTTCATTATAGATAAACTTACTGACTTGTCTTTCTTTACAGTGGTGGTGATAGGAACCAGGGATCACAATGTATGCAACACAAATATAGCCATTTGTCTTATTATCCAACTAGTAAACTTAAACATGCCTTCTGAGTTTTTATATGTAATGTTGATAAAATGACGTAACAAATGTAAAATAGTGAATAGTGGTAAATTTGAAAAAAATAACTTTAGAAACTACTTTTCCTTATAACACCATGAATCTACCATTTCACCATTATTGTACTAAAAAAATATTTTAGATCAAACATTTATATCAAAGCTATCATAAAACAATGCATCAGGCACCAGGCAGTGCATTTATGACCATTTCATACAGTAACTTTCTGTGAGGGAGCTTTTAGAGGCTTTTAACACTGTGGACATCAGGTTCCACGGTGAACAATTCTGACTCGGTAAGTATCTCTAGAACGAAGCATTTCACATCAGGCCATTCTGAATGACTTTATTCACATCGTGACTATTTAATTAGGCAGTAAATGTGAAAAATTGGTGGAATTCCTCCTTAAAAAGGTTAAAAGATTGTTTAGAGAATCAAAAGTTGGGCATCTATAGCATTGTTCCAAAGGAGCTCTTTATTTTTATGAAATATAACATTTTCTGTGACTATTTGCTTCTACAGTCACTGAATATTAAATATGAATTAAATATTTTTCCTATTATGTATTGCAATGTATGTCTTCATTTCTCTCCACCCTTCTTAAATGAGGGAAGAACATGATTAAATTAAATTTGCTGTTTAGAAATGTTACTTGAACTGTAACATGGCTTTGTAGCTGAACTGCTTAAAACTACTGACTAAACTAGTATCTTACACCTCAGCAACAACACATAAAACAGCATATCCCAATTCCTTTATTTATACATAAGTTTTTTAGCATAGTTCCATTCTAGCATCCATTTACATGTCCATTTGACCCCTTTTATCATCTGTGAATGTATAATTCCTTTGTCTTGTTTTTAAAATACATCTACACTGAAAAAAGAAATGATGTAAACTGACATGATTCAAATGAGTACATAATTTCCGCAGGAATAAAACACATTACATCAAGCCAACTATTGCCAAACAATAATAAAGGTCACATGTAATATGTTTTACTCATGTGGAAATGATATAGACATTTAAATCAAATAAATTAAATGCCTTTCTTTATTCAGTCTGATCCTTTGGTGTAAAATCTTCTTTCTTATACAGTGTATAGCGTGTGGTCCTGGAGACAGGGGCCGCTGCTTTGGCCCCAGTATTTGCTGCGCTGCAGGACTGGGCTGCTATGTGGGCTCTCCAGAGGCAGCGGGCTGTGTGGAGGAGAACTACCTGCCCAGCCCGTGTGAGAGCGGAGGAAGAGCGTGTGGGTCTGAGGGAGGACGCTGCGCTGCACCGGGAATCTGCTGCAACACAGGTCAGCGTGGGTTTGTACACTTAGCCGTGTTAGTCACTGAGATAAGGACAACTTCATTTTACAACTTCTTAGAAATGGTGCCCTGATTCGCAACAGATGTTTGCACATTGATATGCTGGCACAAAATGTGTGAGTTGTCCAGTGATCACTTGAAGCACTGTTTTATAGGCTATTTCAGCAGTGATTGTGCTACTGGAGTGCATGTACTTGTACAATTAAAATAAACTTTGAACTTTGCAGGAGTTTCTAAATGTGCTGTGGCACACCTGCTATGCTTACCTACACTCTTAAAAAAAGGGCTCTTAGTAAAGACAGTAGTTTCATATAGGACCATGAACACTCAACGAACCAATTGCATGCTTAAATGGTTCTTTGGATGGTGAAATTGTTCTTCAGATTGATGTAGAATTGTTGTATATGGTTCTATGTTGATGGTTCTATATAGTTCCAAAAAAGGTTCTGCTATTGTGGTGATGTCAAGCTTTTAACAATAGAACCATACACAACAGATTCTCTATCAATCTGAAGAACCATTTCATGATGCAAAGAACCCTTTAAGCATGCAAATGGTTCTCTATAGAACTCATGGTTCTAAATAGAACCATTCCCTTCATTAAAGAACTCATGAAGAGCCATCTTTTTTGAGAGTGTTGGTAAACATAGCAGGTGTGTCACAGTGCACGTAACCACATAAGTGTAGTTTAGATTATGTAACAACTCAGTGAGATTTGAAGCAGTGGTGTGAGGATGTAGGCCTGCAGTTGTTGGCATCATTAGCCTTCAGTGCAAAACTGTGGAAGCTCTTTTCTAAACCATGCATGTCTTTGCTGATTATATTTGGAGAAAGGGGGAAATTAGATAACACTTCGTCAGAATGCTGCTTAAATAGGGACTTCATAACACACAAATAAACACAACATTTACATAAATCAGTGCTTGAGTATTTATAAACAGCTTATTCCGGTAAGAAGACAATATCTTTTAAGAAGTAAATGACATTGCAGTGACATAAAAGGCCTTAAACTAAAGTGATAAAGTTATGAAGCATCACTCCCAAGCAATGGAACGATTAAGTTAGAGGCCTAGTTAAGAACAACCCACAGTATATCAGTCATATGGGATATTTTGATATTTGAGTACAAAAGTACACCATTTCTTGTTTATAAATGTAGTACAGTTCCAAAAGTCAAAGTACTTGGAGTTATTAAAATTATTGTTTTATGATATTGTGACGAACAAGTTCTATTAAGGAGGATTGTGTGGTTGCAGACAAGAAGAACATAGTTAGTTGTTCATGTCTGCAGCAATACAGGTCTCCTTAAAAGTACTTTTGCACTTTAACTCATAAAAAGTCATTAAGGGACTTCGTAACCAGGCCTCTGACTATTAAGTTCCATTGCTTGGTAATGATGCTTCATAACAGTGTTTTAACTGCACCATATGCCCATCACTTTAGTTTAAGGCCACTTATTTCCACACAATCTCATTTACTTCATGAAATATCCTGGTTACTCACAAGATCTGTTCATAAATGCTCATATATTGCTTTAAAAATATGTTAGTCAGTGCTTACGTATGTATGTGTTATGAAGCCCCTATGTAGGTACCCTTTACATAAGGTGTTACCAAAAAAGACATTTTGTTTTCACCAAAATAGCTCTTTAAAGGCATTTACATTTACGAAAAACAAAACATGTTGAAAATTATTGGGTCTCTTTTAATTTTGTTCCACAGAGGGTTGTAGCGCCGATCAGTTGTGTATGACCGAAGATGAAGCTGATTCAGAGAGTAATGATGGTCTTGGAGGAGATGTCCTGATGAAGCTCCTGCACCTGGCCAGACAGCACCCGGCCAGCAGAAACCACCAGTGAGCCTAAGAGAACACTGGATTTGATTGGTGTGGTATTTGTATTACTGGAGCACTGGCTCTTAGACAACATAATGCACTCCCCCTTTGAAATGACTTTGTATCAAATGTAGCTGGGATGCATTTTATATATAAACATTTATACATAAAATGTATCCTAAACTTTAAGGCACTGACTGCTAGCTTGCTCTTGGAATATGGCTATGTGTTGATAATAAATGTAGAGAAGGAATCATATTGTCATTTTTGTGTCCTCGATATCTGGTTTTATCCTTGTTTCTACCCGCTTTGATATAATGTCATTTTGATCTCATGGTTGTAAAATGATAAGCAGGTTGTACATGTCAGAACCACAATCTAATTGATGAAGTCGGCCCTTTCATGCATTATCTCCTGAACACTATCGAATGTTATCTCTTGTTCTTCTGATGCCTATTGAAGTGTTGAGTCATGCAGTTAATCCTAAAGCACTGGATTGATTCACTAATCATGGAAGACAGTGACATGGATTAGTTTTTAGGTGCGTTTCAGTAACATTTCTCATTTATATTTACAGCAAACGCTCTTATGCAAAGTGGCTTACAGAAGTGCTGTGTTGTCTGTCCTTACGCTAGTGTCTAAATATAGCCATGAGCTAAGACACTGCCTGAAACAGGAGTCAGTGTTGATACCTAGATACATAAACAATACATAGCGATTACAGGATTTTCGCAAGATTAGAGTTCTTTTAAATGCTTATTGAAGAGATGAGTCTTTAGTTTGCATTTGAAGACAGCAAGGGACTCTCTCAGCAGGTTTTTTTTTGCTGCAATAGCCAATCAGCCAGTAGCTGAAGCTAAACCTGTCCATCTATGTCTTGTTTCTGATAAGACTGTGGAACAGCAGACTGATAATAGACATTGATTGAGAGAAGAAACCCTTAGTCCAAAGTCCAAATGAGCACAAACATCAGTGTGAAGGAGCACAGATTCATGGCCTTGGTCTAACAGTAATTACTACTGACGTTAATATAGCAACTGTTGGTATATGAATTCCCTCAGTGAAATGCTCCATTGTTGATGGAGATGCCAGGTTGCAATGCATTTTTACCAGCTGCTAATAATAGAGGTTTCCAAAGACCTTCAGAAGGTAGCTGACCAAGTTTCTGAATGCTTCTTATACATATATCTCTTTGGCATCTTATGGCTGGGATGTTTTTTGTTGTGACTATTTACTGTTTCATCGCAGAGCTGAGAAAGCTTAAAAGAATCCATACAGAACTAGAGGATAAGGATACAATAATGATCTGGTAATATTCCTTAGAGCTCAGTATCTACACAAACACAAGAAACCTTTTCAGATCTTTTTTTGAAGCATTTATTAGATCATTGACCTGGCTTGTAACTCCCTCACTCGCTCCCTCACTCTTGCACTCTTACTCACTCAGTCATGCACTCTCTCTTTCACTCATTCACTCGCTCACATACTCACTCAAATACTCATTCACTTGCTCACTCACACTTACTCTGTCACTCGTTCACTCACTCATGCACTCACTCCCTCACGTACTCGCTTTCTCTCACTCATTCATTTTCACACTCACTCACACATTCACATATACTCATCGTTCATTCTTTCACATTTAGCAGGTTGAAGATTCTCCACAAGGGGGTGCCATTAGCAGTCCAATAGCTTGTGATATTTCACAAGAGCAGTGCATTGCATAAATGACATACTGTGTCCTTGTTCACTACGCCATCTATTGACACTGTAAAAAATTAAAGTCAACTTGCCTTAGTTCAGTAAAAGTTCCCATATGTTTTAGTACTGCAGCGTTAGGTAAACAATGTTAAATTAAAGTTAAGTTTAAAAGCTTATGTATTAAAAAAACATATAAGTAAATGTGGTTGCCTCCTGATAAGCTGCTTACATTTTTGGTGTTATTGGCCTGATCATCAGAAGATCATGAGTTTGATTCCCAGCAAAGCTACAGCCCTCACCCCCTTAGTGTCCCTGGATGACCACTGATAGGAAAGAAAGGGCACTTAGTAATAATAATAATAATAATAATAATAAACATTTTAACAGAGAAAAACACAGCTTGTAAATGCATTACACAATCTAGCAGAACATGGCAAATAAAACAGAACAACAAAACTGTTTTTCCTCTTTTATCTGCTGTAAAGCAACCTTGAAACTCAAAGCTAGGATATATTAGCTTAAGATAAAATAGTTCAAGGAGGGGGTGAGATCATAGATCGTGATTTAAAGCTACCTTCAGTGACTCATACTAGGATTTGTGCAACTTTGTGTGTGTTCTACATTGCTCAGATAATCTACAAACACATGGAATGCATCGTACTGACTTGTTCCTGTAGCTTGAAATATGAGTAAATCAATTATTTCATTATTAGAGATGAGAATGTTCTATAGAGAACTGGGTAAAGGTTGATGTTAGGGCTAATTTGTGGCATAGGTCAATGTCAGTGTTAGGAAAGAGCTGGACATAGGTCTCAGCCAATCTACCCACACAGCCACGTTTACACACACACACACACAACACAACACACACACACACACACACACACACATCACACACACACACAAAAGTGCTCATGTGCATTACGTATACACTGACAAGTAACTTTTGCAATACTTGGTCAGTAAGAGCAGGGAGCATCTCCACCCTCTGTGGTTAATCATTAAAAACTTCACAATCATATAAAAAGCTTTAGAAACCGGCAATCTTCTCCTCTCGCTCAATCTACCACAATGGCCTTCTCTGGAAAATATCAGCTGGAAAGCCACGAGGGCTTTGAGGCCTTCATGAAAGCTACTGGTAGGTATGCTGAGGAAAATGTCTCAAAGCCTTAACAATACAGGGAATGAAACATTTTTCTTCATTGATACTTCTTCAGTTTACCAATTGAATTCAACTGAACTGATTTGTAACTAGAACAGTTTTGGTATGAGACAAAAGATCTCAGACAAAAAATGTAGGTTTACTATTCAGTCTTCATTAATCTTGAGGCTTGTTATTCAGTAACTATGATGTATTATTCAGTAACTAGTAAGAAACTTCATTAACTCAGGGTAAGGTGTTATGACTTTATTAACAGTGGCTGAAATTCTGATTTCTTAAGGTCTTCCTGATGACCTTATTGAAAAAGGCAAGGATATCAAGAGCACCTCAGAGATCGAGCAGAATGGGGACAATTTCAAAGTGACTGTGACCACAGGAACCAAAGTCCTGGTCAGCTCCTTCACTGTGGGTCAGGAGGCTGAGCTGGAGACGCTGACTGGAGAGAAAGTCAAGGCAAGGCTCCCATCTGAATCTCTACCTTCTCTTTACACTACTTAATGCACTCAGAGATCAGATCAATGCAGAAAAGCATGTATCCAAAGGAAAGGCCAGAATGGTCATCCACCTCTTTAACCCCTAAAACTGTCATTGGGGCCTAACATCTATACCTCACTCTTGTAACTGTCTACTTTACTGAGTAGTTTCATAGTAATTAGTTAAAGAGCTTAAAAACTGATTATTTCATGAAAAAGTTGATAAAAGCCCCAGTTTGCAGACAACACTGTGTATTGAGAGCATCCTTAAATTGCATTCTAGGTTTGACAGTAACTATGTCTTGTTATCTTTTAGTCTGTGGTGAGAAAAGAGGGAAACAAGCTGAAGGTTACTCTGAAAGGCATTGAGTCAGTCACGGAGCTCGTTGATGCCAACACACTGGTCAATGTGAGTACAAACTGAAGTTCTAACTTGAGACAAGCATACTGAGAAAGACTTTGATGACTGTTGATAAAGCAGTGGTGTCCAGCGCTGGTCCTGAGAGCCTTGGTCCGGCCCCATTTTGGTTTGGTGATTTTCCAGCTCAGTCACTCCAGATTTAACTCAGCAATTCGTAACCACACTGTTAAAAACTAGGTTCCGAAAAGGATCTTTAGAACTGCGCCATAGAGGATCCACTTTTGGTGCCCTAGATGCTTTCAGTGGATGGTTTTTTGAAGAATGTTTTTTGTAAATGAGATGTACAAATGTGATGAACCTTTTAAAATCTGTTAAAAGTTTAAAGAACCTCCATCCAATTGAAAGTTCTATGCCAGCTGTGAAGACACTCTCAAAGGATTCTGTTGCCATAGAAGAACCACTTTTGGTTTCCTTAATAACTGTGTTTGAAAAGGACATTTGTGAGTGTGAGAACCTTCAAATAATGTAGAGGTTTCTCTGAACTTTAAAATGTTTGTTCACACTCATAAATTTCATTTACAAAAATGGTTTCTCAAAGCATATAGTGAGAGGTTTTTTTAGGGAACTATAAGTGATTCCACTCCACTCTTAGAAAAGATGGTTCTTCAAGGGTTGCTAAGGTAAAGGTAATGGTTCTATTTAGAACTGTGAGTTCTACATAGACATATATATTCCTCAGTATGTAGAACCATTTCATTCTTAAATTGTTCTTTGTATAGTGAATTGGTTCTTCAGATTGATGGAGAATGTGTTGTATGTGGTTCAATAAGGGTTCCTCTAATGTTACAAGCTTAACATCATAACAACAACAGAATGTTTTTTGGTGCTATATAGAACCATAAGCAGCACATCCTCCATCAGTCTGAAGAACCATTTCACCATGCAAAGAACCATTTAAGCATGCAAATGGTTCTATATATAACTCATGGTTCTAAAGAACCATTCCCTTTACTACAGAACCCTTACAGAACCATCTGTTTTAAGAATGTTTGGCATCACGCAACAAACACTTTTGGCACCTTTATTTTTAAGGTGTACCTTTTTGCCGAGTCTAGTCCCAACAATAATCTGCCACACCAGCTCCATTTAAAGAACACCTTCAGACGTCCTTGATTGGCTGGATCAGGTGCTTTAGTGTTTGGTAAACGGGGAACAGCACGTTAGATGGTGGTAGGAACTGTGCAGGAAAGTAGATCTCTAGGAGGAGACCTCTGTGTTACACCAAACAAAGTTTTTTTCTAGAACAATACATCCAAACCAAGAACTGTAGAATCCTGTATTTTTAAGGTGTGCCGCTTTAGTAGGTGTGTTCAAAAAGATAGATCACCAAACCGTGCTGGGCTCTGGCCAACCAGGACTGGAAGTGGACACCCATTAAATAAACTGAAATTAAGCATTACAGAGTAATTTTTTTCTGGACTGAGGTTGGTGTCCTTTTAGTTGTGAATGTTTTAGTGTGGTTAATGCTTTTGCATGTGACCAAAAGATGGTGCTGTTGTTGCCTTTACAGACCCTGACTCTGGGAAACCTCACCTACAAGAGGGTCAGCAAGCGTGTGTGATGTGACAGACTACTCTGTTTGGGTTGGAAAAAAGTGTAAAAAATGCAAATTAAATAAGACATTTTTAATCCACTGTGTCATAATGTCATCTCATTTTTGCGTTTTACTGGGTGTTGCCTTTCATTACTGGTGCCTGGAACTGAATTAGTTCAACAAACTTGCCAAGACAAAAAAAGTCACACTTCATAGCATCAGTATTTCAAATCATGATCAACTTATTAATAATTTATTTTAAAAAACTTTACACAATTCAAAATGTGGCTTAATCAAAAAGGAAGAGTAACTTGTGGCCTAAAAAAGAAAACAATGCTATTGATTTCAGGATATTATTGAGAAAAAAAATTCAAAAACATATCCCAGGTAGTTTAAAGCAGACGTTCACTGCACTGGAAGCTTGTCTGAGTCTCTTCATTCATATTGATGAAATTCATGTTAGGGGACAATGTAAAGCACAGATGAAGATGGTGATGTGTGAGCTGTGTGTGGTCACTTCTTGCGGAACAGGCTTTTGATGCCCTCTTCCACTGGCTCTGCCATCATCTTCATTGGCTGGTTCTTCAGTGCTGCCTCCCGCATGGAGTGATAGACATACTCGTTCTGCTTGAACATGCGCAGCTCCATCTCTGTCTGCATACGCATAGCCTGCAAGATGAAAATGTAGTTTATTCTACTGTTGATAGTTTGCTGAAATAAAATTTCCAACCTAATCCAAATGTAGTCAGCCAAGACATGTTTGGTATCTGAAGTCTGTTTCTTTAGATTGGCACTGGAGCTACGAGAATAATGTTATTACAAATGAAAGCTTGAACTCCACAGAGGAGCACCGTGTAATCTTCATTCCTAAATCATGTCATGAACAAAACAGTTTGCATAGTTAGAAACAGCAAGTGCAGCCATCCTGAAGCCTGAATTTCATCTTAATATAACATCTTAAGATAACAGTATGTCATACAGAGTCAGGCAACACATAAGTGTCTATTTTGGGTTACTTAACCCTTTTTCTCACCAGCCCTAAAATGCTTTTTTGACCTGTTTTGGAGGCTCCTTAGTTAAACTACACATTCCTTGTCTTCAATAACATTGATGTTATATGTTTCAATGAAAAAGTGATTTACAAAACCCAAAGCAAGCTGAATTTTTGTCTTCATATGTGAGCAAGCACATCAATATTTACACAAGGCTTTTTATTGCGTTGAAATGTTTTTTTTTTAATGTGGCGGTTGCCCACACTTTTTTGATTCGATGAAAGTTGAGGTGTCTGTTTTATTTCGGCACGGTAGTCTTTGTGGAGACTTTCGCCCCATTGCTCACTAGCAGCTCAGTCCACACACAGAGAGCCAACAGTATCCTAATTAATCTGATAACCAAGTTATGAGGCAAAATTTATATTCATTTAAAAACATTCAATTTTTTGGGAATTTGCAATAAGTGGCCTGCACACCAGCTGCACACATTTGTGGCAAGTGTGTAATTACATAGGCATGCGATTTGCACTAAGTTAATTGTTGAGATTTAAGTTTTCATGACTTGTTATCCCTGTAGCTCCAGTGCAAAAGAAACTTCAGAGGCAAAACATGTTGGAGTTATCATTTTAAAATATTACACATGAGATCTCATAATAGGCAGTTTTAGGATGTTATTATAGATCTGCAGTTTGTAGAATCTTTTAATAGATGGTATTGTAACAGGATAGGGGTTTACCTCTAGGTCCTTTGTGATAGGGTGGGTTGGCCCATGGGTGACCAGGAGAATGGCATAAGCTTTGCAGATCATGCCATGTCCAACTTCTATGTGTCCTGCCTGCCAGTGGGTTACTCCTGCCCTCATTGTAGCCATCCCCAGCTGAGCGTTGTTCGGATGGTACAGTTTCCTATTTCCAGGGTGCAAAGAAAGCTTGTGAAATGCTGTCTGAAAGTGTGAGAAAGGTCATGTCATCAACATCAACAGCGATCAGTGGCTCACAAAGGCTCATAGAGGCCTATACTTACACATATCCATCTACCATCTTGCGTGCATAGATAGCTGCTTCCTCAAAGAACTGAAGGTATGAGAGGACCTCGCTAAGCGTGCTCCACATCTTCAGCTGGTAGATATGTGTATCAGCAAGAACGTTCTCTTGCTTCTCCACACACTCGCGGCAGATCTTTACCACCTATACAAAGTGAACAAGAAGAAGAACAGAGGATCATCACTACAGTTTCTTTAAACTGAAAAGGTGCTTCACACTTGCACATCTCATTTACAAGGAACCATCCACTGAAAGATTCTTAAGTGAAAAAAGTGTGGTCATTCTATGGCAGTCACTCCAAAAACCCATTTTGGCACTTCTGTTTTTAAGAATGTAAACATTAGATGAAGGCTTTTGTACAATAGAGAGGCAATATGTCTGGTCATTTCTGAAATACCTCATTGTAGTTTCCATCTACACGGGCCTTCTCCATCTTCTTCAGCATCTCTATGCTATATTCTGTCATTTCCTTCACTTTTTCATCTGGCACCTTCCATGAAGAAAGAATAGTGAGACATTAAGTGTACCAGTAGACTTCAGACTGGAGTGTGCAGTGTGGATTTTGTGGTTTTGTGACAAAGAAGCCATTACATTTACTCATTAGTTTCCACTGAATATTGAAAAAAACACCTTGAATGAACATCAGGTTCAATCTTTCATTTCCCAACAATTTGATTTGATCTTAATTTAATTCGATCCATCATTAAATCCATGGTTCGATTTGGTTTGGTTCGTTTGCTATGACTGAGAATTATTTTTAAAAGTACACTGAAAACACATGTGGCTGAAGGAACAAGTGGTATCAGGCCTTTTTTATTTTTAAATTTGAAAACGGTTTGAAATTTTTATTTTTTACTATAAAATGAGTGCATTTTACATGGATGAAAATATTCCAAAATAGATGCAGCTGAAGTACCAACTTCAGACCAATGCATTATTACAGATTTAAGTTATTCTACTCAGAAAAAAGGGAAGGGAGTCTCCTGCTTTTACAGCAGCCTCCTAAGACAAGTAACATGACATGCATTGTGTAGACTGCCAGGCCTCATACAGCCTGGAATCCTGCTCCTCATCTAATGAATCAGCTGCTCCAGCAAAATAACACTACAGAGTCTAAATATAGCCCCCTACACAAAGGCTTCTGGACCAGAGCCCTGCAGGGCTGCAGATAGCTAAGTGAACGCTGATACTTGGCTATTTTTTGACCCTCTTTCAGCCCAAGAGGTCAATATGCATTTGCACAGCTGGGTCTCTGGAACATTAATGCATGGAAAGCCCTGAGCTATGCACTAATGAGTGCAATTTGGCTCACCGAACAGCCTGACTCTTTTTGAATTACACAAACATCCATGAAGTCACGTTTTACCATGGAGTTACATGCATATGAGGAAATTGCAGCCTATTTACATAAAGAAAAAGTGGCTTTTGGTGCCGTTGTCCAGAACATTATGTCCTCGCGCACACTCTAGCTTTTCTAATGCTAAAATGATTCACAGTCATGAATGAATACAGATAATAAAGATATTATTTTAATTACTATATCTGTTATGTTGTGATGGCACTTGCTCCATTATGAGATGTCATATATCCTTGAGTTTGTAAAGGCCTTGAATGGCAAGGATCTGTATGCGGCCCACATTTCCATTTCTTACTTTTTTGACTACGACTACCATGCGTTGACACTATCATCGGGAGGTCGTGAGTTCAGTAACCGATGTTGCCACAGCCATCCGTGGACAGTAGTCCAAGGGAGCATTATTGGCTCTGCCAGAACAGCCCTTCCTATCCTCCATTGCTCAGTGCGATGCTAGCCAAAACAACTGTCTGTTAACTAGCATTCTCCTCCAAGTGCACTGAGCTGTTCAATGACGTTACGTTAACAGCAATTTGAAAAGATGCAGTGGTGCTTAACGTGTCTCAGAGGACGCAAGTGCTAGCCTTCACCCTGCAAACTTGGTGACATTGTTTCACTGGGGAAGACCTAGCTTGCAGGTAGAAATTGGCCACAACTAAATTAGGGACAGGAAATTTGGTAAAAAATAAATAAATAGAAGAATTATTGTTTTATTATTACTGTCGTTTTGCTATATTCTTAAAATGTAATTACATAACTGAACAATTAATTACATAGTAATTCAGTATTAAATTTATATTCCATTTACATTGTATAAATTCGAGTCTGCACTGCAAACTTTTTTTTGCTAGTTTCAATGTCAAAAAATGAAAAAAACATGACACAGATGTAAAGGATGTCATTTCTTTCCACAAAATAAGACTATACACACAGCAAGAGCTTTTCAAAGTCAAACTAAACTTTTCGAATCCACACTTTCCACAGAATTTCTCTAGAATTTCTGTTTTGGTGAGAAATGTGTGACAAAAAGATGCACTAATTTCAAGAAGAGGCCTTTAAGGCATATATGGTATAGGAATACTATAGGGGTTAGTAACTGAATAGGTTTATAAGTCTGCAGTTTAAAGAGGAATTCCACTGGTGTTTTAAATTTTATCTGTATAATTAGATGGTTAAGACGTAAACAAAGTCACTGAGAGTGGTTTGATGTAAATGTTCCATTCTGGAGAAACTAGAGAGTCAGAATACAACAGACCAGACATCTGAAGAGTTGAATGCCTCTTAAAGCTACTTGCACGGAAAGTGTAATGTAATGGTTATGAATATGCTGCCTGATGTCTAAGACACTGTTTTAAGATAGTTTTATCATAAAGTCTTGGCCTTAAACATATTTTTAAAAAGGCAGTCATGGTTGACATCTACAAGAAGGACATGAGGCAAAACACCCGTCAAGGAAAACTTATTCTTTCAAATTTATCGCTATTTTACCATTATCAACATTACATGCAAAAATAAAAAATAAATGTGTAGGTTCACTGATGGTTTTGGATAGTAAATAAAATGGCTATATCTTCACTACAGACATCTTGACCCCTGGCTCCCACTAATGAATTCCACATTGGTAAGTTTCTCTAAAAAGGAGCATTTCATATCAAACCATTCTCAGTGATTATGTGGATCTCAATCATTGTAATTTTTGTAAAAATATTTGTGAAAAAAGGGATTCTCTTTGAAGATGTTCACTAAGAATTCACTGTAATTTTCCCCACTCAAGTATATTTGACATGTTGGTAGAACATTTTAAATAAAAAGTGCTCCGGCCCACCTGAACACCGTCCAGCACAGCACCAGCCAACTTGAGATCATCTTTGATTTTGTTAGTGCAGTGTTCACAGGTGCAGTCGAAGAAGTACTGCTGCTTGAGCATGCGCTGGCGGTCCTCTGACGTGTTCAGGTAGTCCACGTATGACACCGTCAATTCCTCTCCCTCGCTGATCTTCCCCAAAGCTCGGAGCTCGATTCTGTGACAAAGAAACAAAGTGGGTGATGTCCAGTCAAGGTCCAGGCAGAAGTGAAGACCAACTTATTCAGTTCCAGTTCTGACCTCTTTTGGGATTTGAGATGAAACTGCTGAACTGATCACCAATCAGTATCAGTTATCAACATCTGTTCACCATAATACAACTCACTGCAACCTTCCCAGATCAAGTAAGTAGAAGAAGATTTTCTGAAGAGCATACAGAATCCAAACCAGTGAGTTCTGCATGTCAAAGAACATTTGTATATTGACCTAGGTGGTGATCATATACAAGGACTTAACTTGATCTGACATTAGTTGTAAGTAAAAATAGATCTTGTGAAGGAGTATCCATTGCATCCACTGTACAAGAAGTTGAAAAATATGAAGGACTTTACACAAGTAACAAAACCACATAGAGACAGAAGACACACATATGTGGACACAGCCACACGCTTTTGTCAAACAGCCAAGACCTACATATTTGGAATTAAGTGGTTAAGAGCGTGAGAGAAACAGAGGATGGGACGATGGACCAACCACCCAGTAGCATTAGCCATCCTGGTTAAAAAACATAGCCTATGTAAGCTATGTTAAAAAAAATCTATTGAACATTGCACAGGCAAAATGTTGTTAATGAGTGTCAAACTGTAACTGTAAGGTGTAGTCTGACACTCTTCCTGCCACCCAACCAGTGGGATGTAAAATTATAGACTAAGGTCAAATTCGGGGTCTAAGGCTATAAGCAGGACTGCTGTTGGTGATTTGAAGATGGCCGCATTTGGGTAGCTGATTGTCAAACTGTGTGATTAAAGAGGTGACAGTAAGGAAAACGAAGAGCTTAGCTAGTTGAGGCTAAACAGACCCACCTCATCTGAGTATGATACAACGTATTGACGGTTGAATGACTGAAAGACAAAGCAAGAAGCAGATTGTAGGACCCAACCATAAAAGGCTTATTCAGAATACCCCCACTCAGAAAATCCTCACCCTCATTCAAACATTAACCCCTTAAAATCCCAGGTTTATTACATACTAAGATTTATTATTCAGTAACTACATGGACTACAATGCAAACTGATTGTTATCCTTAGGTTATAGAAAAGCATAGTAAAACTTTGGACCTGCTAGTGGGTCCTAGCCATTTAATCTCAACCTCTGTAACTATAATGTTTTTTTTCCAGGTACAGCTTATGTAAACCTATGAATATGAAATAATTGAAACAGCCTGACTGTAATTATTCATTCAGATTTGAATAGAATTTCATCAAAGGTACAACACTGATATCATTGACAGGTGTTGATGCAAATTGCATGCTTGCAACTGCCCATGTCATTTGTATATTTGAATTAAGAGACTTACAGGAACTTTGAAGAAAAGCAAGTATATGTATTTGCTTATATTTCAGGTGTTTTTCATACATACTGGAACCTTTGGCACCAGAAAGCTGTAACTTGCCATTGGTTCAGTACCAAAATTTCCAGTTTTATGGTTTTTGGTACCTGCTCAAGATTGGTACCAACAGTAGAAAGATTTTTTGAGTATGTTCCCCTCTGTTATTGGTAACACTTATCAATGACAATTAACACTAAAACCAGTGACAATTAAGCAAACCATTTACTCTTCCAATCGAAGATAAGTAACCAAGCACTTTTTGATGACCAAATAGAGCACTAGACTATAAATTAGAAAGATGTGTGTCGAATGTTATTATTAGAATTTTTACTTTGCAAAGAGCTCACTAAAGTGACAAGCTAGTAAGGAAACTAACATTTTTGCATTTATGTTAACCTCCACAGAATAAGTGTTTTGCTCATATTTCCACACTATCTATGTATAAATATAAACTTTTTTTGATTCTACACATCATTCTACACATCTGTGTGTATGGGCACAGAAAGGGGACTATATTATTTAATGTCAGTTCAAATAGTGTTAAGCTAAGACAGCTAGTCAGTAAGACAGCTAATTGGCCAAATTAGATGCTTTAAACCTATATACAGAGATGCATAAAAGGATCAAAAAGACAGTTAAATTATTATTGGATTTATCATGGTAGTTGCAGATGTCCCTTAAGCAGGTGGAAATGAACTGTAAGTTCCATTTGTTCCTGTTTAGGTCAGTTCTTTAGTTCTTTTTTGAATGTGCTGTGGAAAAACGCCCTTTGGTAGGCCAAAAATGTGATGACAAAGATACAATCAGCAAGCATGACACAGCTATAATAGCCTATTTGATCTTTGACCACATGTTGCACATGACTTAAGTAGGCCACAGGATTTCAGTTCACATGAGCCATTTTTCTCAGCTCAAAACTAGGTTTTTTTTGGTTTTCCCCACCACATCAGTCTAGCTCAAAATCACCTCCCCCCAATCTTTCACTTCAAGTTCTTACTTCCTTCCAACATTCGCTGCCTCATCCCTTACCCACTTCCAGCCACTGTTTACCTGCATTCTATCTCACATTTTCTGTCCACCCCAGGCTAAGATACACTCTTAAAGTGTATGAGGACTGCTAATGGGACTTACTTGCCGTTATTGAGGATAACAGTGCAGTTAGGCCAGCAGTCATGGTTGACCAGACAGAGGTTGGGGAACAGACCAACTCCAACTGCCTGGAGGCCTTTCTGATCACTCACCATGAAGCCATTGCAGTTGATCTGTTGTAGTGGAAAGGTGAAAGTGTGAAGTAAGCCAGGCCATTTTTTCAATGAACAATGCAGTTTTGATTTGAAATACAGACATTTTTGGATTATAAATCAGAAATGTAGCAAGTTTATGTACCACTCCAAAGATGTGTGATATTCTTTCTACGGTGTGCTGCTTGCTGGTTCTGGGCCAGAAGTCAAGGAAGTTGTGGATGTCCACTTTGAGGTCCTTCAGGTCATCCTCAGGCAGGTCAGAGATGTGGTCCTCCAAGTCTTCCAGCGTGGTGAGCTGCATGTCTGAGACCACACCCCCTTCCTTATCGAGACGCCACATAATACGAGCAGCGAGGCTAAATTGAGACATCAGAGCAACACATTAGACAATGGTATTATTTCTATCTGTGCCATATGAAATCCATATATAGTCAAGAATCTAGAGCTGTAAATAAATGAGAACAGAAGTGACTTTTTTGTAATGTTAACTTGTAAAATGACCAGTTTAATCATTACACAGTGATTAAGTCGTTAAACCCTAGCTTATTATTCAGCAATTCTCTTGTGAAACTATTGTCCTAGCTGTTGTAGCAAAACCTCAAAAACTTCTTCTTTTTTCACTACTTGATAAAGCCAGCTGCCCTTTACATTGTGTGAATATCTCATAAAAATGGATGGAAATTACTTGAAATAAATGAAATAAATGAAATAAATGTAATGTTACTATTTTAGTTTTATTTGAGTTTTGTCACAACGGTGACATTGTATAACTTTTGTAATTATGTAATAAAACTGATAAATCGCAGTGTGGACCTATAAACAAATGCTTAGGGTTTGAGGGCATACTTCACAATTGCATGTATGTTATTGGTGCAGTGCAGTGAAATAACTGAGTTTGTCCATTCTAAAGTGATCACCCTCCCACTCTTCAAACCCCCATCTTTATTCAGCCTTTCCTATTTCTTCTTTCCCATTCATCCCTTCCCTTCCTTCTTCCTCTTTCCCATCACACCCTCCAGCAAGTCCTCAGGCGCTCACCGGATGTTTTCATTGGGCGCTTGGCCATAGCTCTTAATGGCAGCACACTCCTGTTTGTGTTCTTCCCAGGCCGCACGCTGACATGTGCGGTCGCAGTACTGCGCAAAGCGGCACTGACCGCACCGCTGCAGCTTTGGCTGCCGACGGAAACAGCAGTGACAGACATTTGCTGCAAGACTGTGGGATAAGACAGAAAGAGAGATAGATGAAAGGCATCATTACAACATACTGTATGTTAAGTCTTAGGATATCATGAAAATAGCTAAATAGCTATTGCCAGTAAAAAAAAAGGCTATAAAACATTACTTATATAGATCATTTTACCATGTGGTTTCAAAGTCAAAGCTGAAAACACATTTTGGATTTTTAACTGACTTGGATTTTAGACTAGACATGCTTTAAGTGACCCTGTAGCTTAACTATGTGCACATAAAATCATAATATTTTGTAACAAAACACAACAGTTTTCACAAAAGTTTACTTAGTTGAGAAAGTATGTGATATTTTGGTAGGCCACAGATACAGGAGAAGCAGTGCTTCAGAGCAGAGAGAAGAGGTCATTCACCTCAGATAAGAGGAGCAATGCCTTATAAGGTGAAGGAGGCCTTTTAATAGAGGAATACTCAATGTTCACAAGGTTTGGCTACTATTACTGCATGTACAGGTCTGTGTTTCCAAGACAAACTGCCTATTAACTGTAACAGTAGCCAGTGTGGGTGTACAAACACCTTAATCTTAATCCAAAAATTCCAGTCATTTTAATTGTAATTTTTTGGCATTTCTGTTATCAGTCATGCTACAGTGAGGAATAACATTCAAATATATTTTAACACTGCTTAAAATTAAAATGTCAAATGAAATCACACAGTCCATGCTCTCAACGGGAGACCTACTTGTTACGTAAGAACGACAATGTCACCATGAGATCATACAGTATCCAATAACCAGACATTTGTTTCTGCCTATATAGCACTACAATAGTACAGTAGGGCCTAACGACAATGGTACACTGAAACAAGTAATGCACTGAAGTTACTTGATTCAAATTTCCACATGAATAAAATGTAATACAGCAACACAATTTTGTTTTTCATTCTGTTTATGTAGTATATATTGTAGAAAATATGCACACACATTAAAGTAAAAATTCATTGCTTTCTATATACTGCTATGTGCAGTCTGAATTGAGTGAATCTGATCAGAATAGTATTTTGCATAAACCATGCCCGAGACCCTGTGAAAATGTGCTGCTCTAAGGCCTGAGTATACCAATCCCACAAACATCTAAAACATTCTTAAAAAAAACCTTTAAATGGCCAGTTTTATTACACACTTTTATAACCTAAGAATACCTCAGCCAGTTTGCATTGATGTCCCTGTAGTTACTGAATAATAAGCCTTAGTCTGTAATAAGCCTTGGATTTTAATGGGTTAAATGGTTTTTGGCTCAGACAACTTTTAAATCATGGTGAAATTCTTTAAACTTTATGTTCACAAATCTCATTTACAAAAAGGGTTCCTTTAAGAACCACTAATTGAAAGGTCCCAAGGAACCAAGCATGGTTTTTTTATGGGATCTCTCATGTTGGAAGACACTAGAACGCCCCTCCCCCTTTCCCCCTTTCACACTGTGTAGAATGTTCTCCTCCTTTCTCCATGTTCTGGGTTACACCCCCCCACCAATTCACACTAGTTCTTTTTCTAAGAACTCATCAACCAAATGAACATTGGCTTGCAGAATGCAATTTTAAAGACATCTGCCAGCATTAGAACACTGATGATTGATGTTTGTTCGGTCAAGACGCTGTAGCCTTTACTCAAGTCTCTATTTCACTCCATATAACTCACCTGTCAAACACAACGGCAGCAAAGCAAGGTTCTGCAAAGAGTACATCCCCAGCCCATACTTCTTTAGTTGCCCTCAGACCACGACCCTTTCCTGGTGAGTCAAACACTTCCACGTTCTCCATGCCTGCAGTTAGGCAGTCTGTAAGGGTCTTCTTACTACGCTGTCTATTACACTGTCAGAGTCCTCAGTCTGAGTGTCCTTTAGATCATCAGCTTAAACAGCTGGACATTCCACTACCACCTTCTAAAATAGCCTCCACTCTCAAACTGTACCATCTTGATGTTAGAGGCGGGGGGAGATGTTTTGGTGGTCACTGTGAGATGTTGAGTTTTATCATCAGCAAAGGCCTTTAACTTTATGCCAGAAGATCAAAAAAGATTGACAAAGTCTTCTGTTTTGTATGTGCTTGTATGAGTTTCTATTATGTGAAATGTCCACCCGTGATTGAGGAAAAATGTAACATTCCGGGAGGTGTGAGTGGTCATTCAGGAGACTGGGTGGTATTTTAGTCCCTCAGTTGGGCCTGTCAGTCAGGGACGGGTGTAGGGACGAAAGACAGCTGCTCCCACCTGAACACACTCTTGGCTTCATGTGCTTGTTTTTTTTTTCTAGCACTTTCCCAGACCTCTTTCCTGCTGCTTCTCGCTACTTCTGACAACAGTCGAATAGCAAAGCTCCTGTGTTTCTTTTTTTAAGCTACGCAGCCACTGTCTCTACTTCAGAACTCACAAGTGTAGCCATTCTTGTTGTGGAGGGCTCAATCTCAAATGTGAAGGTTCCTAAGTTGTTCTTGACTTGGATGTTTTATGATTATATTTCAAACCTTCAATTGGCACTCAACTGTGTGAGTGTGAAAGGATGTGTAGCTGTCAAGAAGCCATTATTGAGCAAAGGAAGTAGACAAAAAAAGAAGAAAGTTTGCAAAACAAACCAAGAAGCTGCTGGAGTTCTCTAAACAATGAACTGTCCAGAGTCCAGACCTCAAAATCACTCAATGCGTTTGGGATTATTTGGATCATAACAAGCAGAAAATGCAACCAACATTGAAGACTGAACTTTGGAAGAGTGGAAAAATAACCCTGCAGATTTCTTTGAAAAAAAATTGAAAGCCATCTCTTGAAAAGAATGCAAACTATAAAAAGACAAAGGGTGGACATACTAAATACTGAAAGATTTTATATAGTTATAGTTATTAATATTTAGTCATGTCCTTTTCTCTTAAACATATGTTTTCTGCTTTTTTCCCCCAACACCGAGAAATCAATAACTTAATAGTGGTTTTGACTGCAAATTAAATAAATGATGGGTGGTCTCCAACTTTTGCACAGTGCTGTACATCTCATTTACAAAAATGATTCCTAAAAGAAGCATCAGTTTAAAGGTTCTGCATGTTCTGCTCTTTGCTTGGAGACACTAAAGGATTTCACCACCTGACCACCATGTGAGAACACTCGGACATCCTGCTCCCACAGCTGTCTGCAGCACTTCAGTTCATTTCAGTCTCAGTTCATTGTGTTCATTAAAATACAGTAGATACCGTTCCAGTTCAAACGAACACTGCGATATTTTGCATAACTGTCTTAAAATGATATGTAGGCATGTGATTTAAATGCATTTTTTTTGGGAAACTTTCTTGTTACATTGAATACAAACTTTAATTATATGTTTGGTATTGGCGAGAGAAGGTAGGCTGGTGAAAAGATGCAGATTCCAACAATTATTTAAGAATCAAAATGGGATAATTTTTTTTTATATAGTGTAAATTATTGTGATATAAGCTGTTGGGAGTGGGCTTCACGCATATAAATATCAATGCTATGGTATGAATGACACCACCTTGATTTGAGAAGTAAAAGTATGTTTTCCATTATGCATCAGCTGTTTTTCTTCTCAAAAAATCCTTATAGCCTAAATGTTATGAATGGATATACAGCATTTTTAAATGAAACCCTTCATATCATAATGTTAGGGTTCTGGCATGTCAACTGTCAGAACATGCAGAGTATCATAACTCTCAAGATTCATTTGCATGATTCATTGTGCATCAGACTAAGCTATTTTTTTATTGCAGTCTCCTCTATCTGTGTACACTTACTATACATATGAAAGTATCCAGACATCCATTCTAATTAGTGAATTCAGATCCTTTTAGATGCACCTATTTCTTACACAGCGTTGAGCTGCAAACAACCAGCTTGTAATGTTCATAGAAATCACTGCCGATAGACTGAGACATTGACATTGGGCTGTGGATCAGCAGAACTATGTTCTCTAGAATGATGGAGCTCCATCTAATACCTTTGGGATGAGTTGGAGTGGCATTTGTTATCCAGCACCGATCATTCAAAATCAGTACCTGACTTTACTGATACTCTTGTGACCAAATTCAATCAAATTTTCACAGCAATGTTCCATCACCCAATGTAAAGCCTTCCCAGAAGAGTAGAGGCTGTCATTGCAGCAAAGGGAGACAAACTCCCCATTAAAAGCCTTAATTTCTGGAGAAGTGTTGGATAAGCACTTTTTTACAGACTTTTTTAGACAGATATCCATCCATCCATCTTTCTATTTATCTAGTTTTAAAATATTCTTGTTAGTCCTTACCAGTGAGCTAATAGCACAAATGGGAACTGCCTCAAAAAACAGGGAAATCCCTTCACACTTTACCCCATAACAAACCTAATTAGACTCTACAGTGTCTCGGCCTTCTAAAGAGATCTCTGAACTTCTTTGTGAATGAGTTGATACACCAACATTTATGTGAAAATGGATTCACTGCACATTAGTGAAGGGGCTTCTCCCCTATATAAAGACCATGAAACCCACAATGACTACAAAGCCCAATCCACAGTCCATAACCATCTCCTCCATAAACCTTCATAATGGAAGACATCACAACTGAAGGAAACAGAGACCTAGGCAAAGCTTTGTGCATCATCACTGGAGCTTCCAGAGGCTTTGGACGCACCCTGGCACTGCAAGTGGCCTGCTTAGTGAAGCCCCAGTCAGTTCTCCTGCTAGTGGCCAGGTCAGTGGAGCAGCTGAAGGAGCTGAGGGAGGACATAGTGACGCTTGATGCGGGGCAAAAGAGGCTGGTGGTCCACTGTGTGCAAGCGGATCTGGAGAAAAAGGAAGGTGTGGAGAAGACAGTGAGGGCAGCTCAGCAAATAGACTCATCTGTCATTGATCACTTACTAATTATCAACAATGCAGGTGATTATAACTTTCTTTTCGGTTGGTGAAGTTAAAAAACTGATCACTGCTTGGGGATTTTTTGTGATCAATCACTAGTTTTGAAAAACGCTTAGATCTTATTGACCTCACTGTTCCTCCAATAGCAATGGGACTTGACCTAACAAATGGAGGTTCTAAACACTGCCATTCAAAAGTTTGGCATATATGAATAATTGCTGTTATTCCTTTGAGTAATATCATATGCAATGCAGACTAAATGTTATAAACCAGACACCAAAATACATTTTTAGATATGCTATTTAATATTTTCTTTAAAATGACATTTAAGACCTACCTAGTTAATTAAGTTCTGAACCTTTACAATGTAAAGACTGTCCACATTTGCACATGCCACAATTAATACTTTATTTTGTTCCTATTTTAAGCTAATCAAATATATTGTAACAGTGCATTAACAATTGCAGAAAAATGGAGCGTCAAACCACTCCATAAAGTCTTCTCTAGCGTATTCCAAAGTCTTTCAATTGGAGTTAATGTCAGGACTCTGTGGTGGCCAGTTCATGTGTGAAAATGATTTCTTATGCTCCCTGAACCACCCTTCACAATTTGAGCCAATGAATCTTGGCATTGTTGTCCGGGAATATGCTTGTACCATCAAGAAGAAAAAATCCATTGATAGGATAACTGGGTCATTCAGTACATTCAGGTAGTCAGCTGACTTCATTTTATTGCCACATAACGTTGCTGAGCCTAGACCTGACCAACTGAAGCAACCCCAGATCATAACACTACCTCCAGACTTGTACAGTGGGCACCTCTATAGCACATTGAAGCCTTTTTTACAATTAGCCTCACTAAGAAGTGATTTTCTTTTGGCCACATAGTTGTTTGGTCCAAATGAAGATTTTTTTCCGATCACATTTCTTCTGCATAATTGATGGTTCACCACACTCCCTCCAAGCTTTAATAATGTGTTCTTTCAGCAATCTCCAGGGGTACCCAAACATACAACTGTATTTAAACTTCATACACACTGTAGTAATACTCTTATTTCATTGTTACATGTGAGCCAGAAATAATTAGGTGTAGAATATTGAAAAGGCCACTGAAAAATTGTACAATCTGGATTTTTCTTTTCTTCGTAGTTATCTAGGTACATGCAGTCTAAGCTAACCTTCCCACTGGTTAGAACTTCAGCAGCTGAAGAGAAGGTCTTACACAATTGATTAACTACCAATTAGGAAGTGGAGTCAACTGATCATATTTGGATTTACAATGGGTAGGACCAAAAATGTCACTTCACACATTGTCTTTCCCTCCTTCCGCTCTGTAGGTTCTTTAGGTGACGTGTCACGCTTTACTTTGAGCTTTACTGATCCAGTGGAGGTGAACCATTACCTGTCTCTGAATGTGAGCTCCACACTAAGTCTGACTGCTGGTGTTCTGCAGGCGTTTCCTCGGCGAATGGGACTGCAACGTACTGTGGTTAACATCAGCTCCCTGTGCGCCCTAAAGGCTTTCCCTTCCTGGGTGCTGTACTGTACGGGTAAAGCAGCTCGTGACATGATATTCCGGGTGCTGGCAGCAGAAGAGCCAGACATAAGAGTGCTCAACTATGCACCTGGTGAGAACTCTATAGATTATTAGTAGTATTGTCACACTATAAAGTAAGATGTAATGTCGATTTCAGAAGAGTACTGATATTTAGCATTTTTTATGGGTGGAATATTTACAATATTTGTTACAATGCAGAGCAAGTTTACTGCTGAATTTAACAGTTTAGAGGGTTTTCCTCATGTACAGACACTGGAACATACACTGTGTTATGGTGCTGGGTTTGTCACAGGTCCTCTGGACACAGACATGCAGGCCGAGGCGCGATACCGCTCTGGAAACATGAAGCTCCGCTGTTCTTTCTCCTCCATGTTCTTCAAAGGTCAGCTGGTCTCCTGTCAGGAGTCTGGAGCCAAACTGATGAGGCTGCTGCTAGATAATGACTACCCCTCTGGAGCTCATGTGGACTTCTTCGAACTCTAAACAATAACTAGAACATTCAGAGCTTTGGAGTGAAAGGACTCATGGGCTCTTTTACACATATGTTCCCTGAAAAGTAAATTTAAGTAAACTTAAATACAACTGAAGGCCTATTTTATTAAGCATTTTTCTCTAGAAAGTACAATTTCATGCCATCATATAACATTTAAAAATGCAATGTATACAAGGTTAGGGTTATACATTTGTAATTGAGTTCACTCTGAGCTTAAAAGTATCCTCATTTTTACTCTTCATTGGTGGTTGGTCGAGTCAGTATGTCTTTTGTGTGTTTCTAAATGGAGCTGATGACCTCTTCTGGTGGTCAGTGAGATTGCAAGCGGGCTGTAAATAAATCTTGAGAAGATTAAGAAGAAGACAAAATTACATTTTATCCATTTGATTTTGGGAAAACTCACTTTGTCAACAGACTTTACGTTGTTTAATTAAATAAAGTAAAATTTAAAGGAAAATATTACATATGCACAAACAGGGTCAGAAAGCTACATGTGCAGTTGTATGGGTGCTCTTGCAAAAGTTTGGGCACCTCTGGTCAAATTTTGTTGATTGAAGTGAAAATAAGTTAACACATCTCTACAGAGAACAATGTAAATGTACTGTTTATTTGTTGAATTTAACATTTTGGAAAAAATATTATAACATCAAAAGTTATGGCGCATGTAATATTTTATGTTTTATGTTTTTCCAATATGTTCATAAACACGTATGTATTTAAATATCATATTTAAATGTATTCTCTGCAAAGGATGCATTTACTCATTTTCTGTAAGAAAATCAATAAAACGTCATTTGACCTGGGGTGTTCAAACTTTTGCATATATTTGCACTATATTTGTATATTTATTATGGTAGATTATTTACAGTATAGTATAAATGTCCGGCATTCACATCACTAGCGAGCAATAATTATTTTGTATATTCACTCACATGCTTCAGTCCTCATGCTTCAATGATGCAAATTTCACTTTGTGGATGTAGGAGTCAGGTCAGGACGATGAGACATGGACAACATGGACAACAACAAACTCCAAACAGACACTTATTTTCAAGGAAGAGCACTAGTGGTGAGAAAAATAATAGATTCATAGATGAGTCACGATTCTCTCTTAAAAGACTCTGAATTGATTCACAAAACATCTTTTTTTTCATATAGGCCTTGAATCTCCCCTACTGTAAAATAAAATTATGCTCACCCACAGCCTGGTCTGGAGGAGGGAAAAATGCAGAATCTCGCTAATACACATAAATTAGCAGACACAATTTGGTCACAGTTTTCATGTGTATAAAACAAAGGCCCGAAACCATAGTTTCATTGTTAATGACAAAAACCTGCTCTCTTTGAGTACTTCAAAACTTTAATTTCAGTTTGTACAGTATGCAAATAATGCATGCAAATGCATGTCATAAAGCTTGATTAGGGCTTTATTGTTAGCTCTTTTGCCTGGTCACTCAGCAGTGATGTCATACAATGTTTTAACCAAGTGAGAAATTTGCATCAGTGGGAAATAAACATATTTCCGTCCATTGACACTGACCGAAATCCAAAGATATGCAACAGTAATTAGGCTTACAACATTCATTTAGATGTAATTCCAATTAGAGGTTTAATTCCTCATAAACTGGTAAAATAATTTCTTTAAATGTACTAGGCTATAACCACTAGCTTTAAAATGCCATCCATAACTACTAGGCTATAATTACTAGCTTTACATTGCCATCCATAACTACTAGGCTATAATTACTAGCTTTACATTGCCATCCATAACTGCTAGGCTTTAACTACTAGCTTTACAATGTCATCCATAACTATTAGGCCATAACTACTAGCTTTACATTGCCATCCATAACTACTAGGCTATGACAAATGGCTTTACAATGCTATCCATAACTACTAGGCTATAACTAGTAGCTTTACATTGCCATCCATAACTATTAGGCCATAACTACTAGATTTACATTGCCATCCATAACTGCTAGGCTATGACGTCTGGGTTTACAATGCCACCCATAACTACTAGGCTTTCACTACTACCTTTACAGTGCCATCCACAACTAACAGGCTATAACTACTAGCTTTTCCATTCTATCCATACCTACTAGACTATAACTACAAGCTTTGCAATGCCATCCATAACTACTAGGCTTTAACTACTAGCTTTCCATTGCCATCCAAAACTACTAGGCCAATTAAGTCAATATTATTCTCTCAAGATAAAAAAGATGAATAGCCAATGAAGTAAGTAAAGTAATAAACCTTGACATGGGCCTAGTTTTCCAAGAGCACCTGGGTAGAGAGAGTGTTCAGTATTGTGCTTGATCTACCATTTCTGCTAAGAAGCATTCAGAAAACCCATCCATGGTCTCTGGAAACTTCTGGATGCCTTACCTAACTGGAAAGGACCATAAACTTAGCTTTGCTGCTCCTGCTGATGTTTCCATGCATGTCATTTTTAAAATTAGTTTTTATTAATGAAATAGATCTGTTTCTAGCTATTTTATCATTCTATTGATATGGAGAGCTGGTCATGTGTCAGTTTACATGTATTACAGCTAACAGTGAGGCCCAAGCATATTCACAATCAGCATAAACTACCACTGCTACAACACAATACTGAATCTCAGAATCCATATTTTGAACTGATCATATCTTGATGGGTAATCTAGCATGACTACATTCATTTAGATGGAGTATTAATAGCTTTCTTGTCTCTCTTGGCTAGTCCACAGCCTTGTGCTGCTAGCTACTTCCCTAGCTCTGTCACATGACAGTCCTGTATATGAGGGAGAGTGTTTCCATGGTAACTGCTATGTGTTGATGTCAGTAGTGAATTTGTGAATGGAGTCTGAGGCCGGCAGAGCCCTGGAAAAACATGTACTGCGTGTGTACATCAGTTCATACAAATTGCTTGGAATTAAAGTGACTTCTGTTTAAAATCACTATTACATCATATACTTAGTGTCCTTCTCTTGAAAAAAAACTTAATGGCAGCCAGATATTCTCTGTTTTCAAGCTACTGAATGTTCAAATTACCCACATTCCATCTCATGAGATATTGGTGTAAATAGGCTCAAAGGTCTAGCCTTTTCAAACAGTCAACAATCAATACATTAATAGGAAGTCATTCAGAATGAAAGAATGATACACAATAAAAGTGGATTAGTAAGTTTTGTGTTTTGCTTTCTGTCAAGATTCTTCACTTTTTCGTCACCCATTTTCATTATTCTCAATGCACGAAAGCTGTTGTTAGCCTTTTCTTCTCAGCACCTAGATAGGCATGTGGTATTCAATGCCCAAAAGCTCATCTATCAAGTTGTACTAAAAGTTATTGATGGTGTCCATGTGTTCTGTTTCTTGGATCATAACAGCTAATGTCTTAGACACCATGTTTTACTGCGAAAAAGGACAAAAGAAAAGCAGTTTCTGCAGTAAAGTAAATAAATACAAACAATACTGGTTCTTATTATTTCTTTGTGAAAAGAAAGAAAAGACAGGTGTGTCTTCAAGAAAATTGTTCAGCGAATTTCTCCAGGCAAATTGGAAAAATATCTTAACCTAGATTTTCGAGTGTAGTTCAAAGGACAGATCTACATGTAAATGTAGTTGAACCCAGTTTAATGTAGTTTTAAACATATCCTAGTTTTGTAGTGTAGCGTCAGTGTCAACAAAAACAAAGTGATTTGGTGTATTCCGTCATATAGAGTCCTCATGGTTCAGTGACGGCATCGTAGCTTGCAAAGCAGCTAATGATGCTCAAATTTTTTACATTTTATTTTTGCCATGTAGATATTAAAATAATACATGCAAACTTGCTGTCTAGTTTACTCTGCCATTGAAAAGATTTAAATCACTTGCCATATTAATAAAGTTGTGTTGGTTTATGTACAGTAATAACACAAACAATCTGAATTTAAATATTACAACCTGTTTGGCAAAAGGTCATTTTTAAATGTTTTTTTTTTTCATATTTAAAGAATTGTGCCAACATGGAGCTATTGAATGATTAATAATATAGTAAATTAATGACATTTTTGTGAAGTTTTCTGCCTTGAGTTTGATCTCCATTTTTACAATAATATTAATTCTGAATGTTAATTTTATTAAAATTTAAAATTCAGTGTCTTTTGGCTCCCTTCATCATTCAGCGCACATCTAAAATGTCTTCACTTTTATTTACAGCTTCCTAGTGTCCTACACACTTGTATGGCTCTTCAAGGTTCTTTAGTAAAGGCAACAGCCTCATTTACCAATATCTTCCTAGGTTTTTCTTAAACTTATTTTTGAGAAAGGTCCTAAGAAAAAGTCTGTGCCAGATTCATGACATGTTCTTAAACCACAGAATTATTCATACCTTTGTGCTTTCGAGTGTGTAGATTCTGTACATAAGAACAAATCCCAAACATTGGTGAATCTCAGAATCTTGCTGAAAACTGCATAAGTGGGTTTTGAGAGGAAATTTCTTCTTAAGAACGTTTGGTGAATAAGACCCAATGTTCTATTTAGGACCATGAGTTCTCTATAGAACAATTTCACTCTTTGCATGGTGAAATTGTTCTTCAAATTTATGGAGAATGTGTTGTATGGTTCTATATAGAACTATATAGAACTTTTTGAAAATGATTTTGAAAATGATTCAATATAGTACCAAAAAGGGTTCTTCTATTGTTATGATGTCAAGCTTGTAACAATAGTAGAACCCTTCTTGATGCTATATAGAACCCTATACAACAATTCTCCATCAACCTGAAGAACCATTTCACCATGCAAAGAGACATTTAAACATGAAATGGTTATAGAACTCATGGTTCTAAATAGAACCATTGCCTTTACTAAAGAATCCTTCAAAAACCATATTTTAAGTGTGTACTAATTATTTTAAATATGCAAAGTTGTACAGGAGCAACATTATCATTAATATATTTGATTAACTTACCTGAAACAAAACTGGTTTGATGTTATAGGTTAAAGTTATTACTCAGAAGTCATTCATAACTTCATTAATCAAAAAAAACATACTAAATTCCTCATTATTGTCTTCTGATATGATCAGAATCGTGATATCTTTTCGCTCTCCTCTCGCTACTGAACTGCGCTCCACAGTAGCCATGGTAACGCTGAGCGCGCGCGTGCGCGGTACTTGGCGCCGTTCTGAGGGGCGTTCCGCGCGCGCGGAGTGGGCGGGGCGGAGGTGGGTGTGTGGCTCAGCTGATCCACGCAGCCTCCGCTGCTGCTGCCGCCACCGCCGCTGCCATCATCTCATAGTGGGAGAAGGCTACAGGAGACACGGCTCGGCTCCCTTTACGTCCCTCACGGTCACCACAGCAGCGAGACAGCGAGAGAGCGAGAGCCGGAGGAGAGCCGCCTGTCTGCGGTATCTCCCTCAGCCTGACGTCGCGCCTGCCTCACCGCCGCTGCTGTAAGCTGTAAACAGTAAGTAAGTAGCGGCGGCAACGGAGGGGGGCATTAATTCAGACAGAGCCAGCAGATTCCTTACACAGCGTTCAGCCTTCGTTTGAGTCCCGCTCTAACCGCGCTGTTATATCCGAGCAGCGGAGGCTGTCGGTGAGGTATGAGGTGTTTTCTCGTCTGGTTGTTCAAGATAACAGAGCAGTGAAGGCAACGCGCAGACTCTCCCTCTCTCTCTCTCTCTCTCTGCCTACGTGAAGCCTTTTACTACGAGCCGCTCGACCGAGTGGATGTAAGGGGGGGGGGTGCGGGGGACGACTGAGACGGGCATTAGAAGGCGAACGGTGAACGATGCTCTGGGTGTAAATCCCACCGAGGCGGATGGCAGAGTTAAGAGTCGTGCATTATGTAACGCGCTGACAGGCGGGAAGGGGAGAAGGAGAAAGGGGAGCACGTTTCTTCGCTCGTCGTCCGCCTCTGCTGATGCTCGCTCGGCGCTGGGCCGACGGATGTTCACCATTATGCACTGTGACTCTGTTTGTGTCTATGTGATGGCCAGAAAGTGATGTTAGAGCTCCTGGCGCTGGGTCTGCTGGCTGGAGTGAAGCACGGTGATTGTCATTGTGTAGAAAATGGTGTGCGTTTGTGGTGGATAGCGAGTGGATAGTGAGGAGCTAGCTAGAAGACAGTTTATTTTCGATGTGGTGGAGGGAGACATGATTAGGTTAGGTAACTGGAACAGGAACGGCTATTAGCTGAATCTTTTGTCCCTTATAGCAGACAAGTGCCTCCTATTCTCTGTGCTTTTGTACTGTGTTCTTCATACTGCCAGCTCAAAGCACTGTAGAAATCAGCAGGCCTGGAGACGAAGCAAATCACTGGGGGGCAACCTTAACTCCAAAGAGACTCAATTTGGAATTGAAGGAGGGCTACAGCTGCACCACCTCTCATTTTGTTTAGTGTAAACTCAGATGGTGAAGTTACAGAGCACTATAAAAAGGTCTGTGATTTGTAACAATAGTGAAACTCTTTTTGGTGTTATATAGAACAATTTTTAAAAAGATAGATCCTTAAAAATGGTTCTTTGGTTCTTATTGAAGGCAGTGCTTACATAGAACAGTAAATACTCAAAGAACCATTTGAATGCATGTTTTTTTTTTTGTATGGTTAAATTGTTCTTCTCTCAGATGGAACCCCTATGTGGTTCCTTAAAGAGCCTTTTAAAAGTGATTCTATAGCACAAAAAATGCTTCTGCTGTTGTCACAAGTTGTATATTTTTGGTACTATATAGAACCCTTTCCTTATAGTTGCAACCATGCAAAGAACCATTTTTTGCATTGAAATGGTTCTTTGATTGTTTACGGTACTAAAGAACCCTTAAAGAACCACTTTTCAAAGGAGTAAGCATGGATGTACGTGCGGGTAGGCCTGGTATTAGTGCTCCACTGTAATCATGGAAGTGGAGATTAGAGGGGGATGTGTTACTGTGTCTGTTACTCTTTTCTGCGTTAGTCAGGTACATGGAGTCTGATGTTTATTGTTCAAGTCTGGGTGACCTTAATAGCACAGTGTATTCGCATATTATAGAAAGAAACAGCACATTACAGAAGAAACTCCCCCACTACACACTACACTGGTTTATGTGTGTGCGTGAGAGTTTTCAGCTGAGAGAAGAGATGAGGTAATGCCAAGGCAAGTGGTGGAGTAAGAGCCCCCTGCAGGACAGCTGTGTGCATCACATTGTAAAACATGACAGCCTGTTCCTCACGTCCTCATCAGTGGCATTTTAGTAATACTAGAACATGTGCAGTACTTTGCAAAAGTCAGAGACCACCCTCCATTTACGTAACTTCCAGTTAAAACAGCAATGAAGTACAAATGATACATTTTCCGGAGGTATTTTTGAAGAGATAATCAAAAGAAAGTCAAATGAAAATAGCTAATCAATATATTATTCAAAGACACAGAAAAAATGGGACTCTTGACAACTGTGTAAGACCTGGTAGACCACCAAAATGGTAACCATGGGATAAACACTACTGAAAGCTTTCATCTTTGAGAAATAGGAGAAAATCACTCTTGCTTGAGATCTGAAAAATCCAGATCTCAAGCAAGAGTGGGGCAGCCCTAACTCTAAAGAGGACTACGGGGAGGACAAGGATGTGTAGCTGTCAAGAAGCTGCTACTGAGAAAAAGAAAATAGAAATGGAAGAAAATTTGCTAATCAAACAAAACAGCTGCTGGTGTTCTCAGAACAATGGACTGACCACCCCAGAGTCCAGACCTCAGCTTTACTGAATGTGTTTGGGATTATGTGGACTGTGAGAAACAGAAAATGCAACCAACATCTAAGACTGAACTTTGGAGATGTGTGTGCAGATTTCTTTGAAAACGAAAATCAAGTCTCCTGTAAAGAATAGAGGGGTTCACCGTTACGCAGTGTGGCTCTGTTTGTGTGTATGCGATGGCCAAAAAGTGTCATTAGAGCCACTGGCTCTTTCTTTGAAAAACTGAAAGTGTGTCTTTTGAACTGACCACTTATAGGTCTGTATAGGTGTACAGTTACAGACTGTAGCCCCTCTTTTGTCAGGCACAATTTGTCAGCCTCCCTGGAAAACCACTGCCCTGCAAGTTGTAGTGTTTTCTCTGCTATAACACACTCTGTCCACCTCAGGAAGGTCTTGTCAGTTAGTTTATTATTTGCATCAGGTTTGTGGGCAGCATTCAGGAAAACCCTAAAATGAGCGTAGTGGTACTCCAGGACCTTAATAGAGAACTACTCTCCTATTCATTATTGGTCAGTTTCTGACCACAGGTCTACTGTTAATCAGATGTTATTTGAATGACAGATCATTCTCAACGCATCAGTGACGCTGAAATGGTACAGTCATGTTTTTAAACATGTCTATGTCACCACTAGATTGACAATCCTCTACCCAAAAAAATATACAGCAAAGGGTGGCTCTGTGGTCAGGAACTCACTGCGGAGGAAAGGGTGGAAGACGACTAGCATATTGTTCTTGGAAACAGATTGGCTACAGACTCTAATCGTGCAGCTGAATCTAAAAGACAGGTGTGGCCATATATACATCTATATGATGTACATCTGTCAGATTGGCCATGTGAGCAGTATGGTATTTTAGAATTTTAGACCATATTCATTTATTTAATCTCTTCTCTGTCCCTCTCTCTAGTGTAAGAGCCCACTAGCTGGTGGTACCACCCTGGCTCCAATGGCCCACACAAAGGTTTGTGGTGCTGAGTGAGAGGCCAGGCTTGGGCTTCTCACCATGGGCAGCGTAGGCAGCGGGGTGGCTGGTGAGCAGGAGTTTGCCATGAAAAGCGTGGGCACACGAACCACCCTCCCCCGCGGCCCGCCGCTGTCACGCCGAGGCCCCTCAGAGCGCAGCTTCAGCGCTGAACGTCTGCCCCCACCGCCCTCTGCCTCTGAGGGCACAGGCTCCAGCGATGAGAGAGGGGGCAGCAGCATTGCCACGGACCGTCCCCAGCTCACTGGCTGCGAGTCCACCACCACGTCCTCCAACCTGGAGAGGGTGCCCTCTGTCGGCGAGCGGCTGGAGGCCAGCGGGGGAGCAGGCCGCAGGGAAGTTCCCAGGGCTGCGGGGGGTATGGGCATGGACACCTGTGGGAATGTGGTGGGGCACACTGGAGAGAAGAACAGTGACGGCATGGCCCCCATGAAGATGAGAGAGGGGAATGCTGCAAAGACCGATGGCCGCACGCCACCCAAGATTCTGCCCATGTCTGGGAAACTTGAACAGGTGCGTGTGAGCTGAGTGACTTCATCTTTACACAAATAGGTCTACAAAAACTGTAGCACATAGTAAAGCAGGTAATGCAAATAGGGCTGTAACTAATCATTATTTATGTAATTGCTTAATCTAATGACAATTATTATTAGTGTCACTACTAGATTGATAGTTGATGAAAGTTACTTATTTGAATAAACTACTAATCAAACGATTATGACTTCTGCTGTTTCTTCTCACTTTGCTCTTGTCAAAGTAACAGCATCAATGAAAGTTCTATCTGTGCAACCAGCAGTTTCTTCTTTTTCAGTGTAAAGGAACAACAGAATTCATTCCATTGTAGCATAACAACAAACTCTCCAAATAATTGCCTGTATCACATGAACATTACATAGCTTTTGTTTTCAAGTAAACAATGCATTGATGCAATCATTTTCCATCATCAACATCGTTAATGACTGAACAACTCTGTTATCAACTAATCATTGTTTATTAGTTTGACCTGTTTTCCTACTGCAGGGTCATACTTTATCAGAGCTAGTTGAAGGTGCAGTTGTTAATATTTTTTTTAATTTTACAAATAATTTGGACATATATGTTGATAGAACATATATGTAGAAAATATAAAAATATTTGTTATAATATAATCATTATCTGTATTATCAATATTTCAGCTGTGAACAGTGTCATGTGGCATTAAATACTTCTATTAATGTGTTTAATGATTGTATGTTTCATGTATTTAAAAGAAATAACTGTTAGCAAATTAACACTGGATGTTATCCTTTAAATGTGAGCTTTAGGTATATAGAATTTCTGAGTCACCTGACAATGTCAGCTCAGCATAATGCTAGCTAGGTAAGTTGCTATTTAGCTAATTACATAGGGCAGCATGTTGGTGCTGTGGTTAGCCATTTCAATTCTCGGAAATAGGGTTGCAGATTCAGGCATCATCTGGTTGGAATGCTGTCACAAGCTTGGTGTAATAGTAGTGCTGGGCAAAGATAGGAGGGGAGGTCAAGGAACAAACAAATGGTTCCACCGTTAATATAGTAAACGTAATCGCTAGAGCTCCAGTATTACCTCTAACTTTACCTTCAACTCTTCTCTCTGGGATATTCAGTAACCAAACCACTGGACAAATAGAAGCATATGTCTTTAAATACTTTAAATAGCATTCCATAAAATAAAAAAAAACAATTGTGCAAATAAGCTGGAAAATGGACGGTGCATTCATAATGTTCTGTTTTCATACAAATAATATGAAGTGCTTTAATGTTCATGTGAGTTAATGTACCATTTGTATATCGATCTGTAACATTTCCTCTTACGCTGACTCTCAGAACAATTCTGGATTGGTGCGGCCGTCTGCCTTCAAACCCGTAGTGCCAAAGAGCTTCCACTCCATGCAGAACCTGGTTGGACATGCTGGAGGTGGAGGTGGGGCTGGGGGCCGGTCTGCTGGAAGTGCTGGAGCCTCAGACGCCCCCCAGTCGCTTACAGAGCAGGAGAGTCCAGAAAGGGAGCGGGCAGGAGGGAACGGAGGGCAAAGTGGGATGTCCGACTCAGGGAGGAACTCACTCACCTCCCTGCCCACCTATACAGGCCCTGGCTCAGCTTATGGTCCTCCCCCAGCCCTGGCTCCCCTTAGTGCCTCCACCAGCCATATTAACAGACTGGGCACCGCAGCTGCCCCACTGGACAAACTGGACAAGCCCAATTACCAGAACGGTCTGACTGCTTCTGACAGTGGCCGCTCGTCCTCTGGGAAGAGTTCTTTGTCCTATCAGAGACTCTGTCACCTGGGAGACACACCTGCTGCCGTTCGCCCCTCCCCTTCCTCAGATGACATAATACAGGACTTGGAGGATCGACTGTGGGAGAAAGAGCAAGAGGTTAGTGTCAGAGGATTGACCTGAGGTAGCCTTCAGGGGGACTATACACTTAAAAATAAAGGTTCCTAAATGGTTTAAATGCTGTAAAACCTCTATATGAAGGTTCCTTAAACATAAAAAAAGTTTAAAAGGAAGTAGTTTTGGAGAATGATCCAATAAAAGATTATTTTACTGAACTAAAAATGTCTCTTCTACAGCTTCGCTACAGCCAGACATTTTCAGAGGGGGAGGCCAGTTGGAATATGAAAGGGAATGCAAATATAACATGCCAGCTGTATTACAGGAATTCTCCCCTTTCAATATAAATTTCCAATTAGCTTGTTGGTAAAGCATAACCAGGAAGTAGGCCTGTCAAATGCTTACTTGGATACAAGCGCAGATTTAGGGTACTGCTGTCTTTCCCAGAGAGCAGACTAATGTTAAACCGCAGAATTATTCGCACTTTGTGTTCTTACCTAATAACACAAAGTTCTGTTCTTACCTAAAAACAAATCCCAAATAGGAAAATATTGGTGAATATCAGAATCTTCTGATCTTTTTTAGAAGAAATTTCTTCTTAAGAATGGTTGGTGAATGAGGCCCAATGTCTTTATATCAAGGACATTATCAGAAGGAAAGGCATATTAATGGCTGACACTAACCCTTTTTGTGGAAACCTTTTCATGCATAATAGCCAGAATAACCTGAAAATATTTTTCTCATGTTTAAACCAGTAGCACTTCTCTACACCAAGATTACAAAGTTCACAAAAAAATATTAACACAAACTTTAAATGGAATCAAATAGAAAACATAAACTTTAGAAAAAAATATCAGATGTCACTGTAAAACAGTTATTTTTTTCTGTTGTGTTGTAGTTTCTATAAAACAACTGAAAAATGTCTGTTTTATAATGACATCTGATATTTTTTCAAAATGAACTAGAAATTTCAAATACTTTTTAGCTTGGCTATTGGTTTTGTGTTTATATGGCTCTCCCCATTCAAATAGACAAATACCTGGTCTTGAATGACTGGAAACACCTGCCGTGATATTGTTGCCATGATGGGCACAGAGTAGACAGTCTTGCTGAGGACTGCTGGTCCTTTCTGAAACCCAGATGGCATGATTAATCTATAAAACAGTATAATTTGGATGTTTTCAATGGCACTACATGTTCCAAGAAGTTTTTCTTTCCAAACACTTGTTTTGAGCCTGAGCTAACTTAAAAATGTGTCATAACACAGTATCACATAAATGAAACAGCTTCTGCATTAAGTTACTTTAGATTCAAAACAAATGAATAAATCCTGTGTATTTCGATTTGCTACCTGCGCAGGGGTTGGTGTATTGTGTGTAGAGAATACCTCCATTCAGCACTGGATTTGTAGTGCATGCTGAAAGATCAATATGAACCAAAAAGGCAACAAATTAGAGAGAAAAGGTAATAGTTTATGAGAAAAATGAAAATCTCAGATGTAACTAGAGAGCTGTATTTGACAGAATGAGAGGTGCAATTATTGGTTGAAATTCACTTAAGGAGAAAAAAAGAGTATTCTCAGAAATAGATAGTCCTCTGAAATCTGTGTACTTGAGTAATTCCTTTTCATTTCCACACAACACATTCCATTACTACATAACCCCATTACTTAATTACATAATCCTGATAGTGGGATACTGTTATGTAAACCATCCACACGTTTTCCTCCAAGGTCCTCCACATGCGCCGTAACCTGGACCAGAGTGAGGCGGCCATCGTGCAGGTGTTTGAGGAGAAGCAGCGGGTGTGGGAGCGCGAGATGGAGGAGCTGAGGCAGAACTACGCTGGGCGACTGCAGCAGGTGACTCGGAGGGCGCAGCGCTCCCAGCAAGCCCTGCAGGCCCAGATCACCCGGCTGCAGCAGGACAAGAGCCGACTCCAGGAGGAAATCAGTGCCCTGCTGGCCCAAAGAGAGGAGCTGGAGAGAAAGTGCCTGGACTACCGCAAGGAGCAGGCTGACATCCTGCCCCGACTGGAAGAAACTAAGTGGGAGGTGAGCGGCCATGTTATAGTGGTGTTTTTGAATAACGCTTTCAACTTGTAAAGTCTGGCCATTGTCATATCACTAAATCAAAGTCAAGTCAAAGTGTATTTATATAATGATTTACATATATTCAGATTTGTGGTATATACAATGGCATACATACTCCGTACGTACACATATCAGACTGTGATCTGTGCTCTTTTGTGTTGGGCAGGTTTGTCAGAAGGTGGGAGAGATCTCGCTGCTAAAGCAGCAGCTAAGGGACAGTCAGAACGAGGTGACCCAGCGAGCAGGGGAGATGGTGGCCCTGAGGGGCCAACTCAAAGAGCTCAACGCCCAACTGAAGGAGAGGGAGGAGGCCATGCTCGGCCTAAAGGACTCCTACAACAACAAGAGCCGTGAGCTGGAGAGGTGTGAGGGAGAGCTTAAAAAGACACTGGCAGAGGTACATTCATATTTATAAACACACACAGACATAGAGAAAACATTACATTACACTATATGTCCAAACGTTTCCAACATTTGTTTTGAAATCAAGGGTTTTAACACTGTGAGGATTGGTTTCCCTACTTTGCTGCAGTAACAGCTTCTGTTCTTTTGGGATGGCTTTACACTAGATGTTGAAAAATTGCTATGGGAATTTGATTGCATTCAGCCACAGGAGCATTTGCGAGGTCAGGTACTGATACTGGATGATTAGTTCTGGATCACAAAACCACTCCAACTCATCCTGAAGGTACCTGATTGTACTCCATCACTCTAAAGAATGCAGTTCCACTGCTCCACAGCCCAACGCTGGGGGGCTTTATGTCCCTCTAGCTGACACTTGGCTTTGCGCATGGTGACCTTAGGCTCATGTGCATATGCTCCAGAGCATCACATATTATTGACAATGCCTTTCAGTTGAGATTACACAAGCTGTGTGTGCTCAATTGAATGCCTGTGTCAATGGATGCACCTTAAAGTAACCGAATTGACTAATTAGAAGGAGTGTCTGGATACTTTTGGACATATATTTCCAGCATAAACAATTATACATGTTCTCCACATTGCACAGGAGAGAAGTGTAAAAAGTGGTAAATGTAAGATTTATTAAGACATCACGTTCTGCGATAATCTACATTGACTGCAGATTCACTACAAGAGTTAAAAATACATGCCATGTCATCTATATACAAGTGTACAGTGGAGAAATTTATTTTCTTTCAGGGCCTCCGTGTGACATACAAAACAGTACCAGTACCATTTTACATGTTTTTAGCAACCAGAGAGCTGTCATACATGTCATCATCATGAAAACTCTGAAAATATTTCTTGATGAAAAATTCAAATAACCTGTCCAAGCTCTGCTCACAAATGCATTTCATAGCTGCTGTTGTGAGGCTGAACAGGCTTTACAGAATGTCCTAGTGACCCTAAAGAGAATCTGTGGCACACAGCTCAGGTTTGGTATAAACATGTAAATTTGAAGAAAAGTATTACTTTTACTTTTAGAAAACCTTTTAAAAGATTTTAATTTTCTATGCATGTGACAGGACACACTGTTAGGATAGATTGTGTCTAGATTTTTTGTCATGCAGTCAAGGCTTTAGGATTGATAGGCTAAGCAGAAAAGTCACTAAAGTTACTCCAAGTGATTTGCAAAAGGTAGGTATTAACACTTTTTGATAGTGTTACCAATACTTACATATATGTCTTACAAATTGGAAGTAGGCTTGACTTTAGGTGCTGGAACATACATATGGAAAGCCAATCATCAGTCTAGATTTTGGAATAGGCGTGCTTATTGGCTGATTGCAAAACTATTGAAATTTGGTATTGAACGACATGGAATTCTTCAAAAAATATCAGTAGTGTTGACGTGATTTGGTTTGTACCAGAATTTTGATAAAAATATAGTGACAGTAATAATATCTTGCCTCCAGTCATATCAATAAGATAATTGCCCAGTGAGGGACAAAGACAAATAGAGGTAGAAATACTCTAATTTCTAATGAAAAATGATAAGCCCCACAAACTTTCTATGAAGTTAGGAGATGATTCAGATGCTGTAGATGCTTGCCATATCTGTAAGTCATGGTAAGATTACCAAAAACCTACACCTGGTCTGTCCTAACACTGTAACCTCTCACATGCATACAAAATAGATTTTGTAAATTTGAAATTAAGTTCCAGTTAAGTTAGATACATTCCGTGTTCTTTTTTAGTTGAATGTGGTTTGGTTATCATTTTCTAGGGCTTGTCCAACCTCACAACAGTAGCTGTAAAAGAACACATTTGTGGGTGGAGCATGGATTGGCTTATCTGAGCTAATGCCTGTCCCTTGCTCTCTTACCTGGCAGGTGTCAATACTTCGAGACAAGCTGGTGGTGTTTGAGGCCGAGGTCCTGGGACTGAAGCGAGCTCTGGGTGAACTGAGCTACACCAGTGACCACTCTGTGGCCAGTATTGGCAGCAGCCTCAGCGGCAGCAGTAGCCTGCCCTGGGGTGGCCTGCACTCGCCCCGCACCCCCGAGGGCCTGACATCACTTTCCCCCCTTAGCCCTGTAGTGGACACCCTTTTGAGCCTGCAGAGCGACGAAGCCAAGGCACAGCGACAGGAGGCTGGCGAGCTGCGGCAGCAGCTAGAAAGGCTGCAGAACGAGCTGCGGCTGGAGCGGCAGCAGCGCGAGCGCCAGGCTCTCACCTTCGCCCAGGAGCGACACACCTGGCAGGACGAGAAGGAGCGCGTGCTGAAATACCAGGCGCAGCTGCAGCTCAGCTATGTGGAGACGCTGCAAAGGAACCAGGCTTTGGAGGAGCGCGTGGGCCAGCTTGGGTCCAAACTCACCATCACTCCCAATTCTCCACCTCCGGCCAGCCTGCCCATCTCTGTCCCCGTCACCGTTACCCTCACTCCGGCCGCGGACGACTCCAAGTCACCCTCTCTCAACCAGCTGACTCCACCATGGCCTGGGCCCACTCGCCTGGAGAGAATCGAGTCCACTGAGATTTAGCATCGCCGCTGCATATCAACTTGATACAAAGACAATCGACTTTCGTTCAACATACATTGCTGAAAACGGTTTGTTAAAATGAGTATCACTGAGGGGCCCTGAGAACTGAGAAGACTTGTTTAGGGAACAAAAGAACATGCAGTTATAAATCAATGTGCTGGAAAGATGAAGGACTCACTCAAACAGAGTCAAAGTCTTATGTCCTACATACACACATGCACACACATACACTGACATCCTCTAACTATCTAACTCAAGGGATTGAGGTCATCGATGAAACAGAAGGAAAAAAAGAGTGAGCCTTTGAAAAATAGCCAGTGAAGGTCTTTGTATAGGATTCTACAGTACTGTGCAAAAGACAGAGACTACCCTTCAAAAACGAAGTACAAGTTATTAAAAACTAGAAAACAGAAACGTACAAGAAGGTTCAACAGCTAAATATAATTTTTTTCAGCATTTAGTGTGTCTGTTCTTTGCCTTTATTAAGTTTCCATTCTTTGCTGTGTGACTTGCTTGTCAGTTTTTCAAACAAACAGGATAAAAGGATATTTTTCTACACCTCCAAGTTCAGTCTTAGAAGTTGATTGTATTTTCTGTTTCTCACAATCCAAGTAATCCCATGTGATGTCTGGACTCTTGACAGCTACACATTCTTTCAGACCCATAGCATTGAGTGGTCTTCTCATAGTGGAAGGATGGACAGATGTGGATGTTTTTAATTCTGAAGCAAGAGTGGAGCTTGATTTTCTCCTATCTCAAGATCAAAGATGAAAGCTTTAAGTACTGTTTATCTGATGGTGACAGTTTTGGTGGTCTACCAGGTGTTGCACGGTTGTTAAAAATCCCATTTTCTATGTATCTTAATAATTATTTGAACTCTAGTTGTGGGGACTCCTGTTTTTTTCCTTTGGCCTTTCTTTTATGCAATAAGGATTATCTTGAATGTATTCTCCTCAGAAATATCTCCTGAAAATTGAATAACTTAATGGCCATATTGATTGGAAATTCAGTAGTTGGCAGGTGGCCTCTTGTGGACTTTGCACAGTACTGTATACTTAAGATAGAGAAGATTGTTTTTAAGGTATCTGCAATCAGCTTAGAGTGTTCCAATTTGGGAAGAGGCACAGGCGTGTTTCAATGATGTATCAGGGATTCTGGGGAACGTGGTTCTCCATCACTGCACAGAAACTTGCAGTGACTAAAAATTGATCACAAGGGGTCATCAAAGAGTCTTTGGAGGGATCCCACTTGCAAGCAAAAGTACTTGAAAAAAAAAGGTTTTCCTTCTGGTTTTGTTTTGGTTTGGGAAACAGAGAGACATGAAAAAACTAAAAACTGATCTAAACTTGCTTTAATTATTCTGTAACTTGATAAAGACCAGGATAAAGAGAGATGAACATGGTCAAACAGTACACAAAGGGAGCCGAAACAGAAAAGGTCCAGGTGGTGGACATCGCTCTCTTAGAAAGGACAAAGACAGACTTGCTGCTATGTACTCGTGTGCTGTTCTGCTGTGTTATCGGAAGACTGGCTATGGATTTGGGTGTTGATCACTATTTATGTAAACATGTTAATATACCAAGATACTCCGTGTGAATATTTTGAAAAGATGCATCGTTTCAATTATTGTGAACCAATGAAGCAGACAACTCGACGTTGCTTTACTTTATCAAACATGGTACATATAGGCCTACCATTTTCTCTCTTATATGATACAATGCAACAACCATATCCAAATCCACATTCCTTTTGATGTTGTTGTAATTCTGATATTGTTTTTATACTCATTTTTATTATTGTTTGTATTTATGTTAGTGTAATGGCTTGATGAAAAGCGTACCCAAGCAAAAATCAGAAATAAAGACACGATCCAATCAATACTAGCCTCCTGATGCTGAAGTGTTTGATGTTGCAGTAAGAGATTTTCTGTTGTTCACATTAATGTTTTTCTCATGCCTCTGACCAAAACCTGTCAGATGAATGAGGCACATCAGATATTCATGTATGCCAGTTTAGTACAGGAAAAATTCACAAATGATTTGAAGCCCATGTGTCAAAAACAAGGCCACGTCAGGCGCGTCGCACAATCATATTCGGCCCGCGAAATTATCTTACTTTTCTATTGTTATTAGACCGTTTCAACCTGGGCTGCACTACAGTCCCCAGCATGCACTGCAACACAGTGTACGTTCCGACTCTTTTCCCCCAACAACAAACAGCGGCTACACAAAAGAAAAGATGCCTGGTGTTTAGTTCAAGCTAATAGGCTGTTTTTAAAAACCTACTTAAAACAATTTAACAATTAATTTAGATTTATTTTTGTATAAGTATTCAATTCTCATTTTGCTGTTGTAGTTTTGGCGTATTTTGAATAAGCAATGCCCCGTTCGGGTCATGGAAAAATGTTACCTAAAAATAAAATAAAAACCCAGCTGGTCCACGGATTAGTTGAGATTTTTTTATATGGCCAATTTAGTGGGTGAATTTGACACTGCTGATTTAAAGGCAAGTTATAGATGCAGAGATGGTGCGGTCTACCCGACACTAGGTGGCAGCGTTAGCACTGACATCCTGCTCTGATTTAAAGGAGCAGAAAACTGTAGTAGAAGAAAAAGCAAAGGGACTCATAGGAGCTCTTTCCAAGGTCTGTGGTCCTCTTTAATATAAACATGCACAGCAATGTCATACCGTGCAACTTTCAAGAAAGCTGCATATATGCCTGCTCAAGGAAACTCTTGCTCAGGTTAGAGATACGTATGGCATTTTGTCTGCTAACGTTAGCTGCCTGTCGGCTCGGCTAACATACTAGTAAACGCTAACAAACTTAGCAAGCTAACAAACCAGCTGCATTTACACAGGGTGTTATTGAATGTTAGGCTTACGTGGTATCTGTAGTGTGTTAATGATACTGTGTCTTTATGCCAGTTGTCCAAAAAATATTCTATACTGTACGTTAACGTAACTTAGTTGGCTTTCGACTAACGGTGTTTCCAGAAAGGTGGAGAGAGAGAACTTTAGAGAGTAAATTTTAGTGAATTCAGTTTCTGTTTTACAATATTTGGACTCATTACTTTTATTAACCATACTAAAGACGCTAAGAAGTACCATCTGTTACAAGAAATACAAAAAGTACTAGTTCATCAGATTTGAGGAGGTGATGTTATCCTCTGTTTGAATTTTAGACTGTTTAGCAGAAGTATGCTTTTCTTTGCAGCATTTGTAGTATTATTTTGTGATGAAATTTGAGTAAAAAAAAAAATCAGTGCTTTCGTTTTACATAGCCTAACTGGCACTTAACACTTTCACTGTTTAAAAATTTCAGCCCCTGTGGGAGGTGACCATGGTTGTCAACCTTTGCCTGCCACATTTTCAAACCACTGCTCACTGCAACAAGGTACATTTAGCACAACACTTCTTGGACTTGCTTAGTTCTGTTTCACAAGACCTCTGTTGTATTGTAAGCTATGTGCATCCAGTTTCCAGCTTCATAACCACTAGTCAGAGAATACCTGGTTTCTGGTCACTTTAGCCTTTAATGCTTGGTCGTAGGTATCAACATAGGTAGATTTGCATAAGTATTAACCTCTAGTTATCTTTATTTTGACAGTTTTCAAACTGTCCACGTTCACTGATACCCTTGTATAACAGTTTTGATAAGGGTATTTTATCTAGCTAAAACTATTACTAAAACAAAAACAGTACAAAGTGTGTTCAGTAACTGAAAAAATGCTTTCAAAAAGATGCAAATTAAATCAAAACTATAATGTCCATTGCAAAACTAACTTAAAAAAGAATTACTTTTCAGTGTGAGAAGGAAAGTTAAGAAGTGGACCCCTTCTGTGTTTGGCTGTCTTTTGAGGAAAACTGGAGTACAGCAGAGCTCAGTCTACTGTGCTAATTTTATTCTAACCTTATCAAAGGATAGAATTTGTATTATTACTCACTAATATAGCATTTGTCATAATACTAACAGTAATGCTAAAACTGAAACAAAAAACTAAACTAGAACTATGACTTTTTGGAAACTAAAAACAAAACTAAAACTACTAATGCACACTTAAGACTAACTGAAACTAAATTGAAATCAAAAACCCCCCAAAAAAGTCAATAAAACAACAGCAGCCATTTATCCTGTTTTATCTTTTTCCTGTGATATTTTCCTCTGGTAATCATAGTAATTGCTTGTTACAGAATCAGGAATATATGTTCACTTAATTTGAAAAAAAAAAGTTAGGCTGCATTCTGCAATGAACAGACTGAACAAATATTTATCCCTCTAACGACCCTCAATGTTTTTTTCCCCAGTTTTGGTAAGTGATGTTCTGATGACTTGTTTCTCATGTGTAGCAACATGTTTTCCTATTTTGTCTTTGTGTAGTGTACTCACAACCACGTCATTTAAAAGAACTATGGTCTGTTACCATTTATCTGTGTTGTTAGTTTCTTTGCTAAGCCACATTTACGACACTTCTAACAAATATCAAGTGTGCTCACTGAATTAAGATTCTAGGCCATCTAGACCAGCTGAGGTCACGTTTTACTTTTTGTTCACTGTGTAGGAGCGAGATAGGGACAGAATGTGGGCGATGTGCCTTTGCTGACCTTGTGATGTTCTTTACCCTACGTCTGAGTTGTGTGCTGTGCGTATTTGATATTGTCAGTGTGTCGGAGGTCTTCAGGCGTCATTTTTGCTTCTTTTTGTTCTCCTCACAGCTGTGCGCAGATGGTTACGATGTTTCCAATCTTCTGTCTGGCGATCCAGCAGCTCGTCGGAGAGGTTTTAAACTGGAGTACTTCCTGCGTCCTCCACTACACGTTACCTTGCACTTCCAGACGAGGGTCGAGTTGTGTCGTGTGGATATTGAACTTTGGCCTTGTGGTATGGACCAAGGCAGCATCACTAGGAGGCTTGAAATCTTTACTTGCTCTGATCTTGTCTCCAAGATCTCAGAATGTGCCCAAGAGACCGGACAGTTCAAGCTTGTGGGACGTTGTGATTTGAGAGAGGAAGTGCTTGTGTGTTTTAAACATTCCAATTTCAGACATCGAGCTCCCTTTCTTGAGCCCCCACCTGAGCCTTCAGCCCAGGTAAAGCAGCATGAGCTCTGGAGCCGGGGCCTGCAGTCTCTTAGATCAGTAGCCCAGCTTCGTGTCTCTTTACCTTACGGTGGGGCTGCCTCTGCACTGGGAATTAAGTCTTTAGCAGTGTGGGGCATCCCTGCTCATTGTTGTCCTCCTTTAGAGCTGGAGAAGTTTCAGGAAGCCCATTTTCAGAGCTTGAAACCAAAGCCTCCTTCTTTTTCACTGGTCTCACCTGTTACTACATCTCCCAGCCTTCCTAGGCCAAACCCTTCATCCTCAAAAACCCCTATTCCAGAAGAGTTCCTGGACCCTTTAACCCAGGAGCTCATGGTTCTGCCAATGATCTTGCCCAGTGGCATGGTTGTGGACAGTAGCACCTTAGAGGAGTACCAGAAACAGGAAGCCGCTTGGGGGCGTTTGCCAAATGACCCCTTCACTGGTGTTCCTTTTACGCAAGACTCAAAACCGCTTCCTAACCCACTTCTTAAAAGCCGCATTGATAGTCTAATGCTGCAGACTGGATGCACACGAGTCGGGAGCAGAAACGGTCTACTGAACAAACCTCAACCTTCCAAACTCACAAGCCTATCCTGTACTAAAAGACCTTCTGGCTCAGCAGACTTGGTTAGTGTTCAGAGCTCACTAGCTGGACCTAATGAGACGGATATCCAGCAGGTTCAATCAGCCGGTTTTGACATCACAGAAGAACTACAGAAAGACACCATCAGTAGCAATAAAAGCCATAGTAAAGTAACTGAATCTAGGGTTCAATCTGAAAGTTGTGTAGAAAGACAAACGTTTATAGTGAAGTCTGTTACTGAATCCTACAGTATTGGAACAGAGAACTTGAGGCATTGTACTAAAAGGAAATATCAGTCAGACCTTTCAGCTAATACAGACTGGACATCTACTTATTCATCTCCTTTGTCCAAATGCCCAAAACAGATGCAAGCCTCATCCTCCCCACAGGTTAGTACAGCACACAGACTTGTTAGTTCTCATCTATCATATTTTCTGCTGTCTGCCTTGTTCCACAGGTCTAATGTACTTACTGTTTGTTTTAGACTCTAGCCAGTCCTCTCATGAGCAACGCCTGTCAGACAGTTTAGACCAAGCACTGAATTCTGCTCTGCATGGTTTACCAAGATATACCTCACAAAGCAAGCCAGAGCCAGAGACCACACCAGGTAGGACAAAAAGATGCATTTACATTAATTTACCCAGTGCAAAAATAGGGACAAAACCCTTAATAAATCCACCTAAAAATCCTACTTAACATTTTTTTTTAATTGATTTTTCCGTTTTACCATTATATTTTATATGGTTGTTTTCCAGGACTACGTTGTCCTTTAAATGGAGACTCTCTATCGAGAATGCTGTGTAAAAGATCTCTCTTTGACATAATTAAACATATGAGTACATAAATTTTATGTTTGTTTATTTTATATTTTAGTTTTATATGAGTACATAAATAACTAAGTAAATAAATAACTGAAAAGATAAAAAGTGTGGAGTTGGCCTTAAATGGGCCTCCATACATTTTAAGCCTGCTTGTGTTCCTAATAAGCCCACTCATTATTGTGTTTTCATAAAAATGATTACTTTTAATCTTTCGTAAGCTGTGAGGTGTTGCCATGCTAAATTATAGGCAGTTATGGTTAAGAAGTGAAATAAAAATGTTTAACAACATGCAACCTGTTTTTATTTACATTTTGTACAGTGTCCCAACTTTTATAACTTTTAAAACGGGGTTGTATATAGTGAATCAAGTTTCATATTCTGTCATGTTCAGATTTGACATTGTGAGTAGCAAACCCTAGTGTAGATCTTCTCTGTAATTCCTGTTCAGTCCTTTTCCTTTTCGCTTTCCCAAGTTTTTTATAGCCCTTGGGCTTCCATTCAAAATCTATGACAAATGGTTTATTGGGATCTGCAGTGTCCAGTAAGAATTTAAACATTTTCTGTAGTTCTGCACCAAATAATGAAAAAATTAGCTTTTTTCCCCAAAGAAAAAAAATAGCAAGTTTGTAAGTTTAGATTAGATAATCTATCTATCTATCTATCTATCTATCTATCTAAGAACATTAGTAAATAAATAAAATAAGTTTGTATGTGATTATTCATTAAATTTAGAACTGCAATGCTGAATTTTCAAATGGCTGTGATGATTTTTTTGTTAGTGTTTCTTATGAAGTAATAGCTCAAACTGTCCAGGCTACTGTTGGCCATACTACCGGATGCTTCTGAAAAGTGTTTTTAAAGCAATAATTTGGTGGTGACTTTGCCGTGTTGAGAAAGTCTTTATCCATAATTTGAGATATAGTTGATATTTTTGTGGAAAACAGTCTAAGCATATAGCAAACCAAACTGCTTGTTTGATAAATGAACTCTACTCTTTGCATACTAATCTTTCTGTTTTTGTTTGTGACCCTGATTCTGCTTTAGGACAGAGCCAGTGCGGGTCATGCTTTTGTTCTTTGACTGTTTACTCCACAAGCCAACCTGCTTACGCTTTGCCCTGCAGTCACCTGCTGTGTCGATCATGCCTGCAGCGTGAGCACCCTCCCAGCTCACAGAGACTGTCCATCACATGCCCCACATGTAAAGCATCTGCCTCACCCAGCACAATCACACGAGTACATCATTAAACATATCTCAGTGCTGCCTTTGAATGGAAATAAAATTGTGGTGAGGATGAAGTATATTTTCATTTTTTTCCACTTTTTTTTTATTTGTTGAAGAAGCATCAGTAAACAGGAGGTAAGTGAAGTAGAATAGATACTGAGCAAAAAAAAGGGCTGCCTCACAATCACTCATAATGTTTTCCAGTTGTTTGTTTAGGAAAAATCCCTATACACTCCAGCATTATATTTTAGATTCAGGCTCACTGAACATGTTCCATTTGTACAAGCACATTCAGCCATCTAAAACTTATGTTTTGGGATTTCCAACTTAGAAGCATTATCTGTTTGGCTGCAAGCATGCCCACCAGCAGAGGCTGTTGTTTGATGTAGGGAAGTGTAGTTGGTATGTCCAAACGTGGGTAGATATGGTTATAAACTTCAAAATCATATGGCTAGACATTTTTCTGCAACACATTTGAGATCCATTCAAATATGTTAGACCAAAAAGCATGAAGCACAGGGCTGATCAAAAATAGATGTGATGATCAGTCAGCTCTACAGCACCAGTGACATTGCCATATAGATGACCTTACTTGATGTTGGTGTAAAAAATCTGATCTGTTCTCAGATCTCATCAGACGTCACATCATTCAGCTCGCTGGCCGAAGCTTCTTTCAATATACTTTTCACACATGGCAAGAAAGCAAGTCAAAGCAAGAGATCAACAGTCTAGAATCAGGATGTGAAAGACAGACGGAATTTAGTTTGAGTTGGCAAAAACCAACTGAACAAAAAGAGGCAAATCTTATCTATGTAGTTATCAGCAGTACTTTACCTGAGAGCATGTAGAGAGCACTCAAAGATCAATCATTGATGGTACAAATAAATTGTGAGTGTAGGAGTGATCATTGCCAAACAGCTTTAGGGAAGATTCTTTGGAAAAAAAAGTTATTGACATAACTTCTCATTTCAACCACAGTGAGGAGGCAGCAGGTAGTGCCTCACCAGGAATGGCCCGTCGCCAGCCAGTGAGTGCCAAGGTGCTTTGCGGGTGAGCTTTTCATCTCCCAAACAAGACATAATGGCATCTAGCAGCTTGGAAAATGCTGCAGGCAGGTAAAGGGAGTGGTTTTGGGAAACAGTCTCAAAAGACTGATTGACGAATTCAGACATGGGCAAATTAAGTACCTTCTGGCACTCGTATAATGGCAGTGATGTCAATCGGTTTAAAGAAATGATTGTAATTTCTTAGAATCTTTAGATCAGGGCTTGTAAAGTGATCAAGTAACTTGAATGGCAAAGAGGTTAAAATGCTGCAGATTGTCTATGAGGGGCATGACTTGACATGCAGTTGAATGAGTACACTGAAAAGTTGCTAACTTGACTAATGTAGTTCTGTATATTAGGTTAGAAATCCTTTTAAATACAAATATGTCCAAATGCGATGCCACAGAAGAGCAGCATTTGGTTCCCTAAAGTACCTTTCAGTGGAATAACATTTGTAAATGAGATGTACATGTGAAGACCCTCTCAAAGTTTAAAGAACGTTCACATAATGTAAAGTCAGTTCTTTGCATAAGGGGAACAAGTCTCTTATAGAAGGTATTGTGGAAATTGCAGGGAAGTCTATCATGACATGCAGCTGTGCAAGATGGAAAAGCATGAATTAGCATCAGGGGTGCTGGGGCCTCCAGAAAATGCAAAATCAAAGACATTTCCAGAGGTCTTGATCATTTTTTGGTGATCTATTGCCAAAAAATGTAAGTTATGTTTGCTTTTGTAGAGCGTTTTTCTGAATGAAAGCTTCCAAAGCAGGTGCTTACCACTTAGTATGCTTGGGCACTTTTGGTCATGTCTGATCTTGACTGTATTATGTGATAATCATTGCTCAGCTTGCACTTCCCTTAACTTTCTTGACAGTAATCTCTTAGATTTGTCCCCAATTCAAAATGTTAAACAAGGTGTTCCCAGTTCATTAAAAATTGTGATTTATTTTTACATTAAGTCGGCTATTGTATACAGATGATGTCTCAAACCGAATGGTAAAACCATTTCACATGATGACTATTCTTATTAACATTGTCAGCAAAATATGGTAACTGGAACAACATTTTGATGAATTATCTGAACTCCACTGATTCTTCAGATTTCTACCTAAGTAAATGGTTAAGAAATAAGATATTGTTTGACAGCTGTTCTGATCTGTTCTGAGGATAGATTTTGAAAACTTTTTTTTTTATCCATTCATGACTGAGAGGTACATGCAGGACACTGTAAAGCAGTGTAGTACCCAGGGAGAACTGGTGTAACCGACAACATATACGACTGCAATGTGAAAGCTAAGTTACTATGTTGAAGTGGCACAAATCAATTTTTTTGCCGTAATATGATAAATATCTGATGTTTTCAAATCAGATCTGAGCCACTTTCATATGTGGTCTTAGATCAGATACATATCCATTTTGTGATTGTGCAACGTTACTGAGAACACAGATAGGAGTTTTTTTTTTCACTGCGCCCTCAGTGGTAATGTGGTGGCAGCGACTAACCTGAAGTTAGTGCAAGTAATAGCAAAAGCAAAGCATCTGACCTTTTTTTGCCTTCCTCTTGCTTTAGTATCGAACTGCTGAGCACTGTTCAGAGCGAATATTCTTCATAGTAAAAGCTGGTTATTTTACTGTTGTTCATTTATTCATTTATGTGATGTTATTAATTAGGATGTGTGCATGCATGTTATTACAGGACAAAGTGCGTTCATATTAATGACAGATTTAAGTGACCTACACAAATGTGAACTTCACGAGCATAAAGTAAGAAAGATTTAATTTGAGCAAAAAAAAAATAATAATAATTGAGCAATGAGGCCTAAATATTGCCAAGGTGACGGGAATTAAGTCGTTTTGTGGAAATTTGAGGAACACCTCCTATTACATTTTCTTAATGCTATATAAAAATTTTGACAGCTTACCACAGTTGCCAACGTAGACCAGCTCATAGTTATTATCTGAGACCTGATTTTTTTCAAACCAGCTCATTCGCTGCTTACACATGAGAGAAACCTCACTGTCAGTGTCCACTCCATATTCGTCATTCCTAGTTTCCACAGTAAACTTCTCCTCCAGCACCAGTTGTTAGGTCATTTACCACAGCTTGACTAAGATAAAAAGTTATAAAATTATGAAAAACACTTACTCGTAGTTTCTTTGATGTGGTATATCCCAAAAACTAAATTTTAATAAGAAAAATATTTTTCAAGACTACAGGAACATAAAAAAGGGAAACAAAAGAATAAAAATGGAGAAGAATAAACTAAACAGGTTAACACGTTCACACAAACACACATAGTGTCACACATGAAGGCTTAACTAAGACAAATGCTTACATTAGCAGTCTAAAACTAAGAGTCAAGAGAGAGAAAAAGAGAGAGTGGTGGGGGTCAAATCACCCAGAGATGTCATCCCCATCTAACACAGACTTAGCCAAAGCAGTCATAGCTTTATACATATTATCTTTCAGTTAGATAACCTACATATACAACTGCAGATTCATCATTACAAATTATAACTATTACAATGCAGACATGGAAGGGTTCAGAAACAAAACTAAACACTGTGTCATTACTAAGGTCCAGGTCAACAACGATAGTGTCACTCATGAGCATCTTAATTACGTCAGCAAGAGTCACTCTATGTCAGGCCCTAGGCTATGGAAAGGTTCCTGAATGGTCACCTTTCCCCTAGTTTTGTGACAATGGAAAAACCCAGTTCCAGCTCTTGTACCATAGGCCCTCACCATGTCTGGTAGAATAGACTGGAGATGGACATAAAGAAGTCCTTATCTTTTGTCACAGTGTCCTTTTCAAGACCTAAGCAACACGGGCCAAATTGATGTAGCCAGACGACTGGATGGAGCATCTCAAAAACAGCAAGACTTGTGGGGTGTTCCCAGTCAGCAGTGGTCCAAAGAGGGACAAACACGCACTGACAACAGGGTGTTGGGTGCCCAAGGCTTATCAGTGCTGGAGGGCATTAAAGACTATCCCATCTGGTCCAAACTGACAGAAAGGCTATTGTGGCACAAATTGCAGAAGTTTTTAATGATGGAGGGATGTGTTACAACACACAGTTCATCGCACCCTACTGTGTATGGGGCTGTGTAGCTGCAGACTGATCAGAGTGCCCATGATAACCCCTGTCCACCAACAAAAGTGCATTCATTGGGCACTCAAGTATTGGAACTGGTCCTTGGAGCAATGGAAGAAGGTCACTTGGTCTGATGAGTCCCGTTTTCTTTCTTTCTTTTCATGTGGACAGCTGACTAAGTGTGAGCTGAGATGGCACCAGGATGCGCTGTGGAAAAAAATAAGCTGGTGGAGGGAGTGTGATGCTCTGGGCAGTGTTCTGCTGGGAAACCCTGAATCTGGGCATTCATGTGGACGTCAATTTCACATGTGATGCAATTTCACCACTTGACATCATTGTGGACCGGATACGCTCCTTTATGGTATTCTCCAATGACAGTGGCCTCTTTTAGCAGGATAACGTTGTCTGCCAAATTGCAAACATTGTGAAAGGTTTGAGGAACATGATGGAGAGTTTAAGGTGCTGCCCTGGTCTCTAAATTCCTCAGATCTCAATCCAGTCAAGCATCTGTGGGATGTGTTGGAAAAATAGATCAGATCTGTGGCGGCTCCACCTCAAAATTTGCAAGATTAAAGGATCTGCTGCTAATGTCTTGGTGCCAGATACCTCAGGACACCTTTAGAGATTTTATAAAATCCATGCCTCGGCGAGTCGGAGCTGTTTTGGCAGAGAACCAGCAGCGTTTCAGGCAGGTGGTAATAATGTTGTGGCTCGTCAGAGTATATTTATTTTGCTTTTTTTGCGTCTCTATGACTGCCTGTGGTATGTTTTGTGGTGTTTGTTCTGTTGATGGACATCATGGTGCTTGAACGGTGGTTGTTCCTTGAGAAAGTTATTGCGACATTAGTTAAGCACTTGTTTATGCCAATCTCTAAATAATCTTTGTTTTTTGACTTAACCGATGATAAATTGATGAAACGCTTCGCTAGCCAT